CGTGAGCCACCAGTGCCTGGCACAAGTTGCCTCTTGAGGTCCTCAGCAGGACCCCTGGGTCCCACCTGCCTCCATGGAGAATATCTTCCCAATACCTTTGGGTCTCACATGGCTAGAGGGCCCAAATCCTGCTCCTCAAATGGGGAAAGCATGCTGTGCCTAATTCCATGATGATAGATGATTGTTTTAAAGTTCTTTACACTCCTGCATTGTTTCACTACTTTTCTGCCAGACTTGTACTATGCTGAAAATGGGCACTTCCACATTTTGTGTAGTGATATAGCTGCTGAACCCCCTCTGTCCCTGGCAAGTACCAAGGGTACTGAGGCTTTAGTGGTGCCAAGCCTCTTCCAAGCTCAGAGAGCTGGACTCCCAAGAGCCTACGTCAAGGCAAACAGAGCTTGTCCTCTCAGAATGCCTTGACGTAGAGCAGCAATCTAGTGTGCAAGGCCGACACTGCGCCTGCTGGGTCCTCATGCACAGCTGTAGGGCTGACATAAGTCCCCTGATGGAAAGGCAGGCCCTGGCTGCTAGGCCAGATGATACTTGGTTGCCAGTGGTATGACAAAGGAATAATCAGGCTCTGTAATCACATGTTTCTCTGTCTCCCAGTTTCTTCTCTGACTCAGCTTCCCCTGCACCCCACCTGCCCTGGGTCTCAGCTGCTTCTCTGCACTTTGCGATTAAAGAAGTTGAAAAGGAAAACATCAGGAGACAACTAAAGAGGCTGGACTGTGAAACAGAGGAGGCAAGACCTGGATTTTTTTTTTTTTCAGTAGTGGGGTCTGAGCTCGGGACTCAAGCTTGGACTCAAGTGTGCTTGGCTTAGTTGTTCAGCTGGTACTTTTTAAAATTGTGGTGGTCATGGGCTTAAACTCTGGGCCTGGGCACTGTCCCTGAGCTCTTCAGCTCAAAGCGAGCCACAGTGCTACTTCTGGCTTTCTGGCTTCTGGTTTTTTGGTGGTACCCTTGGAGATAGGAGTCTAATAGACTTTCCTTCCCTTTGAACCACTATTCTCAGATCTCAGCCTCCTGATTAACTAGGATTACTGGCACCTGGCTTCAGGTGGTACTCTCAACATTTGAGCCACATCTCCAATCTGACTTTCTGCCTTCTGAACTTTTCTGTCCAGGTTGGCTTCAAACCACAGTCCTTTCAGCCTCCTGAGTAAGTTGTGTAATAGGCATGAAATAGTGCCTAGCATGACATGGATTTCTTTTTTAAAAAAAAAAAAAACTAAATAATTGTACAAAGGAGATTTTTTGTTGTTGTTTTTGCCAGTTCTCGGGCTTGAACTCAGGGCTTGGCTGCTGTCCTCTGAGCCTCTTTGTGTTCAAGGCTAGTGCTCTACTGCTTGCACCATACACAGCACCATTTCTGGCTTTTTCTGAGTAGTTTACTGGAAAGAAGATTCTAACAAACTTTTCTGCCTGGACTGGCTTTGAACCTGCCCCACAATCCTCAGATCTTAGCCTCCTGAGTAGCTAGGATTATAAGGCATGAGCCCAGGGCACCTGGCTGAGATGGAATTTTTCTTAAAACACATCTTTTCTAGCAAGTTTGTTTTTACTTTTATTTTTTTATTGAGGCAGGTGCCAGTACTAGGGATTAAACTCAGGACTGGGCACTGTTCCTCTGCTTTTTTGCTAAAGGCCAGCATTCTTACCACGTAGGCCACACCTCCATTTCTGACTTTTTGCTAGTTAGAGATAAGAGTCTCAAGCCCAGGCTGGCCTCAAACTTCAATCCTCAGATCTCAATCTCCTAAGTAGTTAGACATGAGTCACCAGCACCTAATAATTTCCTCAGTTTTTAACTATTCAGAGGCAAGTATGAAAGGCCCCATCAGCAGTAAACTATTTTTAATATCTTCTAAAAGCTGGGTGGCTCACACTGGTGTCCTAACTACTTAGGAGGCTGAAATCTGAGGTTTGCAGTTTGAAGCCGGTCCAGACATACACACATGCTGGAAGTGGTGCATTGGCTCAAGTGGTGGAGTGTTAGCCTTGCACAAAAAAGCTAGGAGACAGCGACAGGCTGGAGATTTTTTTTTTCCCTAAGATCTACTCAGAAGACTTAGGCCGGGGCTGGGAAGGTGGCTCAGCAGTAGAGTGCTTGCCTTGCATGCATGAGGCACTGGGTTTGATTCCTCAGCACCACATAAGCAGAAAAAGCCGGAAGTGGCGCTGTGGCTCAAGTGGTAGAGTGCTAGTCTTGAGCTGAAGAGCTGAGGGACAGCGCCCAGGCCCAGAGTTCAGGACCCACAACCGACAAAAAAAAAAAAAAAAGATTTAGGCCCTAGGGGCTGGGAAGGTGGCTCAGTGGTAGAGTGCTTGCCTTGCATGCATGAGGCCCTGGGTTCGATTCCTCAGCACCACGTAAGCAGAAAAAGCCAGAAGTGGCACTATGGCTCAAGTGGTAGAGTGCTAGCCTTGACCTGAAGAGCTGAAGGACAGCACCCAGGCCCAGAGTTCAGGTCCCATGACCGACAAAAAAAAAAAAAAAAAAGACTTAGGCCCTAAAGAAGGTTCTGGTGGCTCACACCTATAATTGTAACTACTCAGGAGACTGAGATCTAAGGATCGTGGTTTGAAGCCAACCTGGGTAGGAAAGCCTGTGAGACTCTTATCTCCAATCAACTATTAAAAAAATAATAAGAAAAATCAGATGTGAAGCTGTGGCTCAAGTGGTAGAATGCTGGCCTTAAGCAGCAAATAAGCTCAAAGTTAGTGCACAATCCCAGAGTTCAAGCTCCAGGCAGGCACCTTAAAAAACAAAAACAAAGGCCCTAGTCTTATAGGCTCCTCGGAGGGCTGTACAGGTCAGGTCTTGCAGGGTTAGAGCCCTGGCTAACTGTTGGAAATATGACCTACTCTCACCTGCAGCTGTTGGTCTGCCTCCTTTTCTTCTCCCTGACTGGCTTGCTGTCATCGCATCTGATCCCAGACGTAAGTCAGACTCTTCAGGTGAGGCACCCCACACCCCCGGGGCCAGGCTACAATACCAGAGTGCACCCTAGATGGTCCTCTGGGTATCTCAGGTTGTTTGCTACATTGTCTTCCTAAGGGTGTCTTGACGTGCATGCTTCCCCATGCACCCAAACCTTTTTACCTGACCTGGGCGACATTTCTTACACTGTCACAAGTTCTAGATTTTGAAGGAATAAAGACCCCCTAGTGCTCTTAAGAACTCAGCCTTGGGGGCTGGGAAGGTAGCTCAGCGGTAGAGTGCATGCCTTGCAAGCATGAGGCCCTGGGTTCGATTCCTCACCACCACATAAACAGAAAAAGCCGGAAGTAGCGCTGTGGCTCCAGTGGTAGAGTGCTAGCCTTGAGCTGAAGAGCTGAGGGATAGCGCCCAGGCCCAGAGTTCAGGCCTCATGACCGGCAAAAAAAAACAAAGAACTCAGCCTTATCCAGTCAGTACAGAGGTCAGCATTACATCAGCTTGGTCTTCTCTGTGGGCCATAGGATGCCAGGGACTACACGAAGGCTGTGGACATCTGTGCTGAGGTCCTTGCATGTTTGGAGAGGAGGAAGGTGTCCTGGCTTGTACTCTTCCAGTTGACAGAGACAGGTAAGCCAGCATGAGTCTTCTGAGACCTGACATGGAAGGAAAGTGGCCCTGTCCTGCAGTAGGCAGATGTTAGCTGATCCGATGCCAAAGGGGACTATCATTCTCTTCAGGAGCAACTTTCAAATGACGGAGGACAAGGCCTCCTGGGAGCTCACTTTGCAAACTCATTTTCAAGTTTATCTTTCTGCTGAGTTATAAACTCAGTATGCACTTATGTAAAGCAACAGAAGGCTGTATCAGAGCACTTTGGAGGACCGCAGTGCTACTGGTCTGAGAAATGGACCCACAAGCCTGTTGTGTGGGGTGGGTAGGGGTTGCATGCCCACCTCCCAGCCTTTGCTCTCCTTTGTATTCCCAGACCCTTCTTTCCCTGCAGCACTGACAGATGTCAGAACCCGATACCTTATGCCGTCATTGGTCACTAGACATAGATCTCCCCTCCAAGGGAGCCTGGTCCTGGCACACAGCTGATTGAGCCCCTCTGTGTTGCAGATGGTGGCCTGGGGCACCTCCTCCTCCGCCTGGCCCCAGATCAGCATATCAGGCTGCTGCCATTTGCCTTCTACAGGTAACCAAACCCACCTTCCTGGTCAACAGAATGAACCCTAGCCTGTAGGGCCTGGGTGGTAAGAAGGTGCTGTTTTCCTAGGGTCTCCCAGTAGGTGAAGAACGCCTGTCACTTCCACAGAGTGGACATTCTCTCTACTTCTACTTACATTCAGCACCTTCAAGTCTTTTGTAATCTCTTCTTTACCTCTAGTCTTTTGTCCTACTTCAATGAAGACACTGTTGTCAGGGAAGAGGCCTTCCTGTATGTTGCGGCAGACATGTACTTCAAGCTGGTTCAGCTCTTTGTGGACGGGGAGATGAGGGCTGCCTCATCCTGTGCTAGCAGGAGCCCATGGCCCCAGGGCCAGCCCCCTCTCCAGGTGAGCTCCCCAGCCATCCACGTGGTTCCTGCCAAGGATTTGGGGATCCTAGCTCAGTACGCTTCCCCATGACTGCCATCTTTTCTCTAGGGCAACCCTGCTCAACTGGTAATGGAAGCCCGCCTTTTCCTACTGCAGTTAATACCCCGATGCCCAAGACAGAGTTTTTCAAACATGGCAGAGGTAACACACCCCCCCCAGGCTAACCCGCACTTTGGAGAAATGAGGGTATCTGTAGCACTTGGCTGTATGTCCATGGGCTGGCAGGGAACTCAGTGTCCCCCACCAGGCCTTCCCTGTGTGTACCATGGTCTTCAGACAGCTCACTTGGGCCGTCCTGACTGGCTGAAGAGCTGAGCAATGTATTTCTTCACAGCTGGTGGCGGGTCACGGAGTCTCTGACCCCGAGGTGAGTGCTGCCCTTCTGGGCAGACAGAAGGCTGACCCCCACCTCCACCCGGACCCCGATTTCTTCTGAATGTGCTCGATCCAGGTCCTTTGTAAATAATTTATTGCAAGCATAACATGGAGCTCTGATTTCACTAGAAAGTGGATTACAAATCTCCTTAGTTGCTCTAGTTAGGAAAAGTTAACAATTATTCATGATCTGTGTCTGGCCCTGGGGAGCTCAGTGTTTGCTGGTCCCAAAGCAGAAGATAAAAGGCCATATGGAATACACTGAGCTGCTTGCACTGCGAGGAAGAAGTGCCCCCTGGCCCTTGTACACAGCTGCACAGGTGTGGTGGGTGCAGCGTAGGGCTCCACAGTGCTGGAACGGTGCCAGAGGTACAAGGAAAATTAAGGTGTCTTTGAACCTCACATCAATGTCCACTGAGGTCAAGCTGCTCAACATCGTCTGTCTGCAATCCTCAGGTTGGCTCTGGCTTCACGTCCTGGTTCTTCGTGGTCCCAGAGCAGCTTGGGGGCCCAGGTAGGGGCTCTGCTTCCAGAGGCAGGGCCTTGTCCTGGGTCTGTGTCAGAGGGTGCACCATGGACATGTGTACGTTGAGGTTGTGGGCTTTCTCAAACCGCCGGCCGCACTGGTCACAGGCAAAATCGAGCTCAGCCTCCGCCTTGTGTTTGGTCATGTGGTACTTGAGGGATGCCCGCTGCCTGCACTGGAAACCACAGACCTCACACCTGTGGGCAGAGGTGGCAAGGAGACAGATGAGGAACAGTGAGCCTGACTCAGCCTCGGGGGCAAACTGAGGAGAGGCCCCACCCACACCTACTGCAGTGGTTTGGCTCCTGAGTGGCGCATCTGGTGGACAAGGAGGTGCTTCCTCTGCTTGAAGGTCTGTCCACACTCGTCACAGATATAGTTGCGCACCTCTGCAAGACCAGAGAGGGCGTGAGCACGGGCCCCCAAACGCTCAGATCTGCCCCTTGAGGGCTGACGGTCTGACTGTTAGAACAGGAAGAGCAGTTACTACCTAGCACAAAGTAGGATAGGCCCAAGCAAGGGCCTCATGACCAGAGATCATTTTCAGAGCCCTTCCCTACAAAAGGTTCCTAAGCCAGCCGGGCGCCAGTGGCTCACGCCTGTAATCCTAGCTACTCAGGAGGCAGAGATTTGAGGATCACGATTCAAAGCCAGCCCAGGCAGGAAAGTCTGTGAGACTCTTTATCTCTAATAAACTACTATAAAACCAGAAATGGTGCTGTGGTTCAAGCGGTAGAGCGCTCACCTTGAGCTGTAGAGCGCAGGGACAGCGCCCAGGCCCAGAGTTCAAGCCCCATGATGGGGGGGGGGGGGGGGTTTGAGTTCTTAGGCTATGTGAGAATGTTGCCGCTCTTTAGTGATCATTCCCCATAATTAGGAGCCCACACAGTTGGGGAAGACCACTGGTGGAGTATAACGGCTCCATCTACTCTGGCAATCACCCCTGCACTGCCTGCACACCTGCTTGTTCTCCACTCTAGACTTGAAGCTGTTTTATCTCTTTAGAAAGTTGCTTGCTTGAACACTGGCCTGGAGTAGAGCCTGAAGCTCCCAACCTAAGGAAATTACTACATGTAAGAATTCTTAGAGCAAAAAGTACAAATAACCCAAATGTCAAAGGACAATGACCCAGCAATGGAAATGAACAAATCTTAGTAAGAAAAGACAATAAAATGCATCATTGTACCCAGCTCAAAATAACTTTATTGTTTAAGGACTGATGTATAACAAATCTGACATCCCTTCCGTAGGCACTGATATAAGTTATGAATGGTTAGAATGGGAGGGAAAATAAAAATTGTGATATAGGTCCCCAAGGGTAGAACGTGTCTGCAGAGTAAATGCTGGAAGAATAAATCCTCAGGTGGCTGGTGGTGTATAAGTGGGAGATCCTTATTTTTTATTTCTACAAAACATAAGTCATTTTTATAGTCCAAAAAGGGTATCATTAGAATTGCTCTTTTTCTTTTCTTGGTTGGTTGTGGGGCTTAAACTCTTGGCATGAGCACTGTCCCTGAGCTCTTCAGCTCAAGGTGGATGCTCTACCACTTGAGCCACAGTGTCACTTTTTTTTTTTCTTTCTGGTAATTTATTGGAGACAGGAGTCTTACGGACTTTTTCTGCCCAGGTTGGTTTTGAACCTTGATCCCTAGATCTCAGCCTCCTGAGTAGCTAGGATTACAGGCATGAGCCACCAGCGCCCAGCCTGTTCATTTGTTTTTATTTTCTGTTGTTGTTGGTTGTGGGGCTTGAACCCGGGGGCTGGGTGTTGTCCCTCAGCTCTTCTGCTCAGGTCGAGCACTCTACCACTTCAGCTACAGTGCCACTTCCAGTTTTTTGGTGGTTAATTAGAGATAAGAGTCTCACAGCTCTTTCTGCCCAGGCTGGCTTTCAACCACGATCCTCAGATCTCAGCTTCCTGAGTAGCCAGGATGACAGGTGTGAGCCCCAGCGCCTAGCCTGTTGGTTTTGTTCTTTTTTGCCAGTCAGTCCTGGGGCTTGAACAACAGGGCCTGGGGCGCTGTCCCTGAGCTTCTTCTGCTCAAGGCTAGCACTCTACCACTTGAGCCACAGCACCACTTCCGGCTGTTTATATGGTACATAGGAATCGAACCCAGGGCTTCATGCATGCTAGACAAGCATTCTACCACTAAGCTACATTCCCAGCCCTGTTCATTTGTTTTTAAATAAAACAAAACCTCAGAGGGGCTGGGCATGGGTCACTCATACCTGTCATCCTAGCTACTTAGGAGGCTGACATCTGAAAAGCCCAGTTCAAAGCCAGCCTGGGCAGAAAAGTCTGAGAGACTTATCTCTAATTAACCACTAGAAAACCAGATGTGGCACTGTGGGCTCCAGTGGTAAAGTGCTGACCTTGAACTGAAGAGCTGAGACCAGTACCCAGGCCCCAGAGTTCAAGCCCCATGACCAACAAGAACAAAAAGTTCAGGGATAGCTCCCTGAGTTCAAGCCTCTGAACCAGCACAAAAACTCCCAGAGGGATATCAGGATTTCTGTACTACCAGCTCTACTCAGATCCCACAGAAAAGACTGCTTCTGTCAAGATTTCTACCAGCCCAAGATTTCGAAGCCCTCTGTGACCTGTAAATCCCTGATATTAAGATGTGTCCCATGGGGCTGGGAAGGTAAGGTGGCTCAGTGGTAGAGCGCTTGCTTTTGCAAGCCTGAGGCCCTGGGTTCGATTCCTCAGCACCACAAAAGAAAAAAGAAAAAAGCCGGAAGTGGCGCTGTGGCTCAAGTGGTAGAGTGCTAGCCTTGAGCTGAAGAGCTGAGGGACAGCGCCCAGGCCCAGAGTTGAGGCCCCACAACCGGGCCCACAAAAAAAAAAAAAACGATGTGTCCCAGCTCTTGTAAGCCACCTGGGCATGTCTGCTCACGGATGGGTTTGTCCACCACCAGTCAGATCTGTGCTCGATCACAGGCCTGACCTGAGGCAGGTACCTGTATGGATGAGCTTCACGTGGCGTTGCAGGTAGCGATCAATCATGAACACCTTGTTGCAGCCAGGATGGGGGCAGGGCCGCTCCCGAACCTCCTCATGGTGCTCCTTAATGTGCTTCTGCAGGAGGGAGGGCAGGAGATGGGTGTGCTTTCTCCAGACAAACACCTTCCAAACGCTTCCAAAGAACCCGGGTGATGGCCTGCCCTCCTGGGTCTCCAACTACTGGCTGCTAGCAGCTTTTGACCCAAACAGCACCCACTCTTACCTTCATGCCATCAGCTCCACGGTAGACAGCCGTGCAGCCCTGGTAAGGACACTTGTAGATAGTGGGCAGTTCCTCCCTGCAGGACAGACAGAGCACATGGAGCTGCCACCCCAGCAGTGCGCTCCCCGGCTCCCCTCACGCCTCACCTCTCACAGCGCAGCTGCTGCTTCCATCCAGGCTTAGGCCCAGGCTTCCTTCGAATTTTTGGCTCTTCAGCCTTCTTGGCTTCTTTGCTTTCTTGCTTCTTACCAGAGACTCTGGGAAAAAAAAAGATGTGCTCAGACTGATATTTCTGATCTAAATGATTCTCACCTGCTCTCTTCACCAGAGGTTCTTCTTCAAGCTTCAGTAACTAAGATGTTTCTTTGAGAGCTGGTTGGCCCCCAGATGAAAAAAACTTTTTTTGCCAGTCCTAGGGCAAGCTCTAGAACTGAGCTGAGTCCCTGAGCCTCTCTGCTCAAGGATAGCACTCCTCCACTGAGCCACATTCCCAGACTTTCCCAAATTACTTCTTAGCCACCTCAGGAAGGTGTGCGGCCCGGGTGAGAGAGCAGACGGTGGTGGCACACACTTGTACTTTCAGAACTGAAACCTCACCCCACTGTTCTTATCATCTACCCCCAAAATCTAAAAATAGGGGGAGCAGGGAGCTTAAGGAATCAGTCCTTGGCCAGACGACCTCAGCCTAACAGCACCCTGCAGCCAAGTCCTGGTCGCCAGCCCCAAACCCAGTTACATTCTTACATACTACCTGAACAATTTAACAAGGAAGTTGAGAAAGCAATTCATTTCCAATTGCATCAAAAAGAATAAAACACTGGGGGGGTGCGGGGGGTGGGAAGGTGGCTCAGGGGTAGAGTGCTTGCCTTGCATGCATGAGGCCCTGGGTTCGATTCCTCAGCACCACAGAAACAGAAAAAGCTGGAAGTGGTGCTGTGGCTCAAGTGGCAGAGCGCTAGCCTTGAGCTGAAGAGCTGAGGGACAGTGCTCAGGCCCAGAGTTCAGGCCATACAACCGACCAAATAAATAAATAAAATACTGGGGTTGGAGATTTGAGTCAGTAGTTGTAGAGCACCAGCCAATGAGTAAAAAGATTAAGTACTGAGTTGAGTCTTGCTCTTGGGGAAAAAAAGAATAAAACACTTAGCTGGCAAAAGTGATACATAGAACCATATATTCAGAAGACTTATTATTTAGGCAGTGGTACCATTTGAGTCCACATATTCAAGAATAGCCTGTGCCTAGTACTGGTAGCACACACTTATAATCCTAGCTACTCAGGAGGCTGAGATCTAAGGATTGCAGTTCAAAGCCAGCCCAGGCAGGAAAGTCCATGAGACTTTTGTCAGTTGTGGGGCTGGAACTTGGAGCCTGGATGCTGTCCCGGAGCTCCTTTGCTCAAGGCCAGTGCTCCACCACTGAGCCAGTGCCACCTCTTGTTTTCTGGTAGTTAATTGGAGATGAGTCTCATGAACAACAAAAAATCACTTTCTAAAAAAATGAGGACTGGAGCATGTCTCAAGTGTCTCATAGAACACCTGCTCAGCAAGCACAAGGCCCTGGACTCAGACCTTCACTGAAATAAAAGATCTAATACATGCATCATACATGGAAGGCAGGCTAAAGAAGCCAACTGCAAAAAGGCAAATGCTGTGATTCCACTGAAAAGAGCTACTACCTAAGAGTTAGTGGCTACCAGGGCCTAAGGAAGGATTAGAGAGAACACTGAACAGATTTCATGATGATGCAAAGTTTGGAAAGAGCGTAACATTGTGAAGGTGCTTAATTCCACTGCACTTCCTATTTAACATTTTGGAAGTAGCGAGGCATGGTAACACATGCTTGTAAACCCAGCACTCAGGAGGCTAGGCAGGAAGATGACAAGTGCAAGATACCACAAGACTAACAAAACAAGATGTCTCAAAAAGTCAAAACAGGCTGGGAAGGTGTTTCAGTGGTAAGAGTGCTTGCCTTGCATACATGAAGCTGTGGGTTCCATTCCTCAGTACCACATAAGTAGAAAAAGCTGGAAGTGGTGCTGTAGCTCAAGTGGTCAAGTGCTATTCTTGAGCAAAAGAAGCTCAGGGACACTGTCCAGGACATGAGTTCAAGCCCCAGGACTGGCCAAAAAAAAAAATCCAAACAGCAGGGCAGTCATAGGGTCTGCGACCAGCCCCAGCTAGAGTCTGCATCTGCATCAATAAACTGAGGGTGGTGGCAGGACCTGGCACCTGAGTCACCACCCCCTGTAGGTAGGAAGACAGAATTCTGTGGCTGGCCACAGGAAGCAAATTCAAGGGAAAAACTGAAGGACCTATCTGAAAGACAACAAAACAAAAACTTAAAATGACCGGAGGCAAGGCTTACATGGCAGAGCATCTACATAGTAAGCAAGAGACTGAGTTCAAATTCCAATACCACAAAAATAAATTGTCCTCTTTTGGGGGAGGGGGAGCAGTTCTGGGGCTGGAACTTAGCCTGAATGTGGTCCCTGAGCTGCTTTTGCTGAAGGCTAGTGCTCTACTGACTTGTAACTTCCAGCTTTTTCTGAGTGGTTTATTGGAGTTAATAGTCTCATGGACTTTCCTGCCCATGCTGGCTTTGAACCTCAATCCTTAGATCACAGCCTCCTAAGTAGCTAGGATTACAGGCATGAGCCACCAGTCCTTAAAATGTATTTTATAAAATGTTTTTGGGGCTGGGAAGGTGGCTCAGGGGTAGAGTGCTTGCCTTGCATGCATGAGGCCCTGGGTTCGATTCCTCAGCACCACAGCAACAGAAAGCTGGAAGTGGCGCTGTGGCTCAAGTGGTAGAGCGCTAGCCTTGAGCTGAAGAGCTGAGGGACAGCACCCAGGCCCAGAGTTCAGGCCCCATGACTGACAATAAGTTTTTGATAACAAGCAGGCTCTAGTGCTCAGGTGACTGTACCCTGTCCATCAGTGACCAGCCCTCCCTTCACACCAGACCACTGGCTTCTTAAGCAGGAGCTACACAGAGCGCAGTCTCCATGCTGCGTCCTACCAGAGACTGCCACTAATCTGCCCTCTCCTGACCCAGGTGTTCTCTGGCTGGAAACAGTGCATCTGATCACACACTGGAAACTCAGCTTTTAAAAAGGGAGGACCCAGCTAGCAACTCTGTTTAAAGGCCGAATGAAGAGGTAAAAGTGTGGGCTAGACCCTTGGGCCAGGGGCTGCTTTGGTTCCTGTCCTCACAGTATGGAGGGGCCAAGCAGCCTCCAAGTCAGTGTACGAAGTAATGGGCAGAGGGCTGTGTCCACTGCCACCTGGCTCTGCTCCTGGTAGAGTCCAGTTCCCACCACAATTGCCTCTCTCGCCAGAGGCACGTCTTTCTGGAGTCCGGTGGGCTGTGACCGCACAGCAGAGCGTGCTGTGCCCATCTGCACAGCATGTGCTCAGCAGAATCACCCCACCTGTCTGCCCTCCTACTCCTACACTAGCCCTGGCCATCAGCCACCTACTCCAGTGGCTCCAGGTCTGCTGGGCACAAAGCCATACAGGCTGTATGGCCAGGTGTAACAGAAGCAAAGGAGGGTTTCCTCAAGGCAACCCATACCTCAGTGTAGGGACCACTAGACACTTCCTCTTGGCTCCCAGCCTACCCACTGGCTACTGGCATACTCTGGCTCAGCTGTACATTCTTATTTTGATCTCTCCCTTACTTCTCTTTCCATAACAAATGTCAGAACTTCCACAGTAAGGGAGGGGGGGCCTTTGGAAATACATTCCAAGTACAAATGAAAATAGCATAAAGAACCCCAATGAAAGCTGTTGGTGAATAGGAGGGTGGGAAAGGTGTACCCTAGCAGGAGGGGGTTGGGCTAACAAGGAAGAAAAAGAATAAATATGGTTGAATTATTTGCAACTATGAAAATAGCTGAAACAAGAAAAGCTGTTGAAATTGTTTGAGGAAGAGAAAGTAATAGAGTGGGAAAGGTTGATTGGAAAATATTGTAAACATGTATGGAAATATATCAAATCCCACCATCACCCCCCCATAACAAATGTAAACTGATTTAAAACAACAGCAACCAACAAAAAAAAAAAACCGCCAAGCACTGGTGGCTCACACCTGTAATCCTAGCTACTCGGGAGATCTGAGGATCACAGTTCAAAGCCAGCCTGGGCAAGAAAGCCCAGTCAAAAGGAGAGCTGTGGCTAAGTGTAGAGCATTAGCCTTGAGCACAAAAGCTCAAGGGAAACACTCAGGCCGAGAGTGTTCAAGCCCCGGCACAGCCAAAAAAAAAAAAAAAAAACTCAGTGTATTCTCAACCTTTTTGTAAAATTTTCTTGGCTGAAAGACAAACCTGAGAAGACATGTTTGCTCTTTGTATTTTCCCTCTGAAACATATTGGGTATGGGGGAAAAAGGGGCCCAAGGAAACCAGCCATTGAAACCACTGAAAAGCAAAGGTCAAAGCAAGAGTCACAGAGGCATTCAACAAGGACACGGGCCACAGCTGCCTGGCCACAGAAATTAATAGTGTTAGAAGCCAACAGGCCAGGTCCCTGGGTTTCAAAGGGCACATGACATAGGACTGCAGGACTGCGAAGGTCCTGGAACTGTCTGCTAGCTCAGATCAGCAGGAGGACTGCGAAGGTCCTCCTGGAACTGTCTGCTAGCTCAGATCAGCAGGAGGACTGCGAAGGTCCTCCTGGAACTGTCTGCTAGCTCAGATCAGCAGGAGGACTGCGAAGGTCCTGGAACTGCCTGCTAGCTCAGATCAGCAGGAGGACTGCGAAGGTCCCGGAACTGTCTGCTAGCTCAGATCAGGTCCCCAAACCACCAAAAGGAAGTGACAGGCACAATGGGAATTCTCCTTCCACTGACTGGCCAGCCCACCTGGCCTTTCCAACTTGCCTCCTCCCATGCTGGTGGAAGCTGGCCCGTGCGTGGGCTCTCCATGCCCCAACCCCATGGCTATCATGTAGACTCTGGCCACCCTCGGGGCCCATGTACTTGAGGCAAGGCTGCACCCTTACTTCTTTTCTGGGTAAGGCTCAAAGGACTCATCCGAGGACTGTGTATTTTGCTTCTTGTCGTTTTCATCTTCACTCAGGAAGTCTCTAGGAGAGATGAGAGCACCTTCAGTAGAGCCTTTGCCTGGAGTACACGCAGACCCAAGCAGGTCTTCCTGTCTGAAGATACCACCCAGATCCCATAGCACACAAATCCCACCCCTCCTTCACTCCTGAAAAGGTCTCAGGAAATCTAAAATCCACAAGTTCCCAATCCATTTCCTAACAGGAAGGGCAAGCTGGGGGGTCACTGACATCAAACAACTAGCAATCCCCCCATAAGTGAACATTCCTAGGCCAGGACTCCAATTCAGAAAGAGCTTTCCTATGGGGTAGAGAACATGGAGGCTGGAGGTGAGCCTCCCAATAGGTGTACTCTGAGAACATTAGCACATCACCCAATAATCATGAACTGGAGCTGACAGACTGTCAGCATTTCAAAGTTCACAAAGGCAAGAAAACAATCTGTGACCTTCACCCTTAAATGTAAATCACTATTCAGCTTTGTTAGACAGCAAACACAGCCAGACTAGAAAGGCTGGGTGTTCCCCCACAAGTCGTCCGCAGCTGGACGGAGGGAGGCCCAAGGCTGCTAGCAGTCTAAGAACCTGACTCTCAGAGGAGTTGTACCTCCCAATGTGGATAAAGGTGCATGTGCATTTCACTTGAGCTCGTGAGGCAGCAGCTCTGGACTCAGCTGATCCACCCAGCTGTGCCCTTCTAGGGGGATCTCTCCTCTTCCCCTCTAGGAGAAAGCCTCTGCTTCTAGTTCAATATCACCATCCCCAAGGGCCAGAACCTGGGGTCCTCTGTTCTTGCGATATCTGGGGTTGGCACAAAACTAAGGCCTTTAAGGAACCAATGTATAGGCAATCGCAGAGGACCAAGCCTGGGGCAGGTCAGACAAGCGACTCCACACTGCTTCTCTGTAGTACAGGCCTGCTGCTCTGGGACTAGAAGCCCAGTAAGGAGCCAGACACCTTGAACTCCGCCCCTCGGAGGGAGGGAGAGCCCGTCTGCAGCAGCTCTAGGGAAGCTGAGTCTGGTTTTTGAAGAAGAAATTTTAGGCTTTTTAAACCCACTCTTGTCTCACCCCTCAGAAAGGTCACTGAACTCGTCTTTTACCCGATCATCCGAGGTTGGAGAGGGAACCTGCTTCTCACCCAGTTGCCCTGGGAAACAAAGAACAGACTGGTCACCAACACCAAACAGAAAAGAGTCTCGCCTGCAAGGGGCACTCTCCTTGTCCAATGACACCCTTCTTCACAAGGGAGCCCGTGGGGCTCTGGCCTCAACTGCTGCCTCCTTCCACTCCCAGCCCTTGCCCTTACTAAGCGGGCTTCGTGTCCAAAAGCCCCAGGCAGCGCCACGGGCCAGGAAGCCTGGGCCCTCTCCACAGCCTCCCAGGGCTGTTCTTTGCTCCTTTTTTGGAGGGATGAAACACAGGGCTTGAACTCCGGGGCCTCATGCTTGCTTGGCTTTCTTGCTCATGGCTGGCACTTTGCAACTTGAGCCATGTCTCTATTCCAGGATTTTGCTAGTTAATGGGAGGTGTTCCTGCCCAGTCGGGCTTTCAACTGTAGTCTTCCAGACTCAGCTTGCTGAGTAGCTAGGATTATGGGTATGAGCTACCAACTCCCAGCCATTTTTTAAGACTTATCAAAATAGCTTGTGTACGGTTTATAAAGCCAAGCTCCCCTCTGGAGCTATCATCTCATCTGGGTTACTATAACTAGCCAAACCACCTAGGTACCTATGTTTTTTTTTTTGTAGACCCACTCTGGATTTTCATGTAGAAGCCAGATGAGCACTCACAGAGAAGTCCAAAGGTAATCAGAAGCCTGGCCCAGGGCCTCCTAACCTAACACCCCAGCAGTAGCTGTATACAACCCACAGCACAGGGGTGGAGTCCAGGCCCCACAGAGGGGCCCTGTTTGCCCTCAGCAAGTCAGCAGAAGAGGCTGCCACACTGGCCTACATCCATGTCCCACAGACAAGAATCCCATTCTCTTTCCTTCAGTCCCCTCAGCCCACAAGAACAGTCAGTGCCCTCTGCCCTAAGCACAGGCTTAGAGGATGGCTAGACACTGGGAAGCACTGGTGACACAGGGGCCTTCTCCTTCATGGAGGAACGAGAAGCCCAGCCAGGCTGGCGGCTCATCCTTGCTCTCAGCTATCACGGGCAGCTGCCATTCCAGGGCGCTCGGGCTGGCTCCGTCTTCTCCCACCAGCTCCTTTATTCACCACACCAGGACTATGCTGCCCAGACAGCTTTCTGCAGGAAATGCCACCCAGCTCAAGACAGGACTCCAGTCAGGGCGCTGAAGCTCACACCTGTAACCCTAGCAACTCAGGAGGCTGAGATCTGAGGATCATGATTTGATTCTTTCCCAAGCAGAAGTCTGTGGGACCCTTGTCTCCAATTAACCACCAAAAAACTGGAAGTTGGAACTGTGGCTCAAGTGGTAAAGAACCAGCCTTTAACAAAAGAAAAAAAGTGAGAGCACAAGGTCCTAAGTTAAAGACCCAGTACTGGCACAAAAGAGAGAGAAGGGGGGGGGAGGAAGGAAGGGGGAGTGGGAGGGTAGGAAAGGGGGGGAGAGGGGGGAGAGGGAGAGAGAAGGGGAAGAAAGGAGGGGGGGAGAGAGAGAGAGAGAGAGAGAGAGAATATGAACAAACGTAGGTCTATAACAGGCCAAAGATGCCTCTTACCTGGAGCCTCACTGGGGACCAGGCTTGGCTGAGACTGGGGCCCTGGCCCAGGTCCCAAAGAGTTGTCCTCTGAAGGTGGTGGGGCCTTATCCAGGGTGGGCAGCATTTTGGTCTCAGCCCCAGCTGTGGTTCCTCTGCCTTGGTAGAGCTGAGAGGCAGCCCCAGTGGGGTTAGACCCCAAGTCCTGGGCTCGCCGTGGTGTGGTCTCCTTGTCCCTCACCCACTTGACTGCCAGCGCTCTGTCCAGCAAGGGGGCTCTGCGGCTTGCATCCATGTCCATGGTGTAGTCATGGCCCTGGCCACAGCCCCACACTGCCTGGATGATGCCATAGTACTCCGAGCTCAGCGTCCCCCGGAGGCTGGGTAGGGCCCTGCAGGTAGTCGCGTGTCCGTGCACCCACCCCACCAAGCCGTGTAGGCAGCTGGGGCTCGAAGTGATCAGGTCAACTGAGGAGAGTCAACAGAGATATGAGCCTCGTGGCTGGCCAACACCTAGCCCAGACTGCCAAGCCCACCATGGGACCAGGGGTGGACTCACCCAGACAAGCACCCTCCTCCGCCACTGTGGGGGGCTGAGCACCAGTCCTACAAAGAATTTGTGTGTCCATGAGCAGTCCTGTAGCCTGGGCCTATAGGACTCCCTGAGAGGAGCCTCTGAAGTCTCAACCTTTCCCAGATACCTCTCTCCACAGTAACCCTCGGCAGACAGCTGGACTTTTCCCTTATAATAGCTGGTCCCTTAGACCTGTGCAAACCCTGCTGCCCCCTCTTCATCTCTTAGCAGTACTGTGGCACTCACACTAGCTTTCACAGGAACAGGTATGGCTCATCCACCCACCACCAGCATACTTCCTGCCCTATAACAGTAGGTAGGACACGGGCTTTGGGAGCCCTGAATATCCCAAGCAATGAAGCAAGAGCCTACTTGGAACAAGGGTTCCGCGGGCCAGTCGGGAAGGCGTTGACTCTCTGTAGGAAGGACCTGAGGAGGCTGTGGCACTGGTAGAACTGAGAGTAGCAGTTCTTGCAGACAAACTGGGGCAGGGCTGGGTCGCGGTGCACAGCCACACCCAGCAGGCTCTGGAAGTCCCTGATGAAGAGGCGCTCCCCAGAGGATGGTCTCTCTGCACTCTCCCCCCGTGCCCGACCAGACAGGCTTCGCAGGCTCCGCGAGGAAAACTTCCCATGGCAGAGGCGACAGTGCCCCATGGTAACAGCCCGGCTTGCTCCTGGGCCAAGCAGCAGATGTGAGGGTCAGAGAGCAAGGCTGGCTGTGACAAGCCTGAGACCCACACTCCCCGCCGTGTTCCCAGGGCCTAGAAGGAAGCAGGGCTTCTTGGGGCCTCCCAAAGCACTAGCAGCAGCTTAGGAGGATCTTGTTCAAGAGTGGGCTTCTTCCAAGAGCCACTGGTCAAGAATCTTCCAGACAAAAAAACTGAGATAAGATCTCAATAAGTTGCCCCAAGCGGCCTCGATCCCATCCTCCTGCCCCAGCCTCCAGCCCAGGCTCCTTTCAAGGAGTTCCCAGTGCCCCCGGCACCGAGGCAGAACTTCATTCCGGCTCGCACTCACGCCAGGCCTTCAAGGAAACGACTTCCGGCCTGCCCATCCCTAGGGTCCAGATGTAGACAAAGTCCCCGGCTGCCTGCCCCGGGACGGCAGGGCGGTGCGTGGGAAGGTGGCCTCACCGGGTAGGGGCCCCGCCACCGGGCAGGCGGGGCCCACACCCCGCGACCACGTTGGGGTCCAGCAGGGACCCGAGGTTCAGAGAGGTTAGGCAAGTGTCTCAAGGTCACACTGCGCAAAAGCAAGCAGGGCGGGAGCCAACCCGGGAGACCGCGCCCATCTTCCCGTCACCGCGGCCCGCCGAGCCCCGAGCTGCCCCGCGCCCCGGCCCCGCCGCCGCGCACGCCGGGCCCAGGCCCGCCGGACCCACCTGCCTCGTCCGCGCCGTCCTCGCCCGAGTCCCCGCAGGCCCGCGCCGCCGCCGCCGCGGCCGCCCGGTCCGCGCTCGGCCCGCCGCTGCGGGAGGGGCGCCCGCGGGCGCGGCCGCCGCCCGGGCCCCCGCGCGGCCGGCCCGCCCCCGGCGACAGGAAGCGGCCCAGCCGGTCCCGCTTCATGGAGGCGGCCGCCGCTCGAGCGCGGCCCGGCGCTCCGGCTGGACCCGCGTCTGCGCGGCCCGGCCGGGTCGGCTCGGCCCCGCGCCCCGCCCGGCCCGGCCCGGCCCTCGGCCCCGCGCCGGGCTCCGCGCGCCCGCGGCCGCGCTCGCAGCCGGCCCGGAGGCGAAGGGCGGCGGACCGAGGCGACGCCCCCGACGCCGGCGAGACCGGGGCTGCGGGCCGCCCTCGGGCGGAGCCGGGGCCCGGCGCGGGGCGCACGGGGCGCGCTCAGAACTTGCGGCGAGTCCCAGGCCGGGGGCGGCCGCAGACAGAGAGGCGCCGCCGCCGCACTCCACCGCTCCGGGCCAGTGCGCGAGGCGGTCCTTCCCGCCAATCGCCGCGCTCCTACGCGGAGGAGGCCCGCCTCCGGAGGCTGGCAGGCCACGCCCAGCCCCTGCCACTCGCGGGCGGAAGTCGCTCTGCGAGGCCGCCGGAAGTGTGTCCAGGCCCGTTCCGGCAGTCCGCGGCGTCGGCGGCTCCGGCGAGCCGCGCGCACCGCGTTCCGCCCTGGCGACCGCCGGCCCCGCCCCACGCCGTCGCCTCCGCTCGCCGCGCTATGGCCGCTGCGGCCGGGGACGGCGCGGCGAAGCCGCTGCAGAGCGCCATGAAGCTGGCCAACGGGGCCATCGAGCTGGACGCCGGCAACCGGCCCCGGGTGAGGCGGGAGGGCCCGGGGCCGCGGGCACCGGGGGCGGGCGCGGGCCGGCGGGCCCGGGGCTCCCGGCGCCGGCTCCGCAGCCACTCGGGCCGCCTGCGCCCTGCGGCCGGCCTGTTGGGCCGTCCGTGCGGAGGGCCCGGGCGCTGCGGCCGAGGGTGTCGTCAGAGCCGGCGCAGGAGAGGCTGCGTGCCTGCGCCGGGAGCCGTGGGCCCGGCAGGGAGGCGGGCGGTGGATGCCCACGACGGCGGCCCGGCAGGGAGGCCGGCCTAGCGCCCTGGGCACCGAGGAGGGCAGGAGCCCGCGCGGGCCTGGAAGAAGCACCCTGGGTCACCAAGTTGGCTTTCGAGGGCAGCGTCAGAAACCCCACCTGACGCCGACCTTCCCCTCGTGTCGGAAGGACACCGTCGAGATGGGTTAATTCAACACCTGCAGCTCCGCCGTAGGGGATTCTCGGCTTCTGTGTGCGCCGGAGATACTTACTCCGGGGCTTGGAGTAAGGGATTTCCCAGACCCAATGACAAAAAGTGAGATTCTAGCCAGGCACCGGTGGCTCACATCTGTAATCTTAGTACTCGGGAGACTGAGACCCGAGGATCGTGGGTTCAAAGCCACCCCGAGTAGAAAAGTACTTATCGCCAATAAACTATTCAGAAAAGAAGTGGTGTTGAGGCTCAAGCGGTAGAATGCTAGCCTTGAGCTAGCCTTGAGCACAAAGAGGCTCAGAGGACAGTGCCCAGGCCTTGCGTTCAACCTCCAGGACCGGCAAAGAGAGCGAGAGCCGAGAGCCCGAGAATGATTTGTACCCTCACTCCCTCTTTAGCCTCCAAGGAAATATTTTTCTTTTCTTTTTTTTTTTGGGGGGGGTCCGGTCGTGGGGCCTGAACTCTGGGCCTGGGTGCTTTTCCTCAGCTCTTCAGCTCAAGGCTAGCGCTCTACTACTTGAGCCACAGCGCCACTTCTGGCTTTTTTCTGCTTATGTGGTGCTGAGGAATTGAACCTAGGCCCTCAAGCATGCAAGGCAAGCACTCTACCACTGAGCCACCTTCCCAGCCGAAATATTTTTCTTAAGCCATGAAACGAGTGGTATTTGAGTTGCACAGAAAGAAAATTTGTACAAAGTGATAAATGAGGGGCTGGGAAAGTGGCTCAGTGGTAGAGTGCTTGCCTAGCATGCATGAAGCCCTGGGTTCGATTCCTCAGTACCACATACACGGAAAAGCTGGAAATGGTGTTGTGGCCAAGTAGTAGAGTGCTAGCCTTGAGCAATAGAAGCTCAGGGACAACGCCCAGGCCCTGAATTCCAGCCCCAGGACTGGCCCAAAAAAAAAAAAAAAAGTGATACATGAGCAACCTCTGGTTATGCTTCCCTAGGTCCCTAGAATGAAGTCCATTTTCTTCCTATGCTTGAGGAAAAGGAGATAGGCCCAGCTAGATCCAGTGCACATGTTGTATGAAGTTCTCTTGAGTTTGGTGCTGCCATCTTTTCCTTCTAGTCTGTTTCTGTTCAAGGCAGACTACCACTAAGCCTGGGAGGAGATTGGGGGGGAGGGAATGATTCCTGCTAAACTAACCAGGGCAGTCTGGCCTTAGGCCAGTATGATGCAGTTACTCTCACTTCTACTGTCCCTACTCCTGTCATTCTATTCCGGATATAGGAGGCATACACGGAGTATCTGAGGAGTATCCACTACATCTCCCAGGTGTTACTGGAGGAAGTAGAGACAACTAAAGGTGGGCTCTGAGATTTGCTGCTCTTCTTATAAGGTCAGATGTTGGACACGATGGCCCTTGTTGGGTCCTAAGCCTGGGGATCTCCTTGAACTTTCTAGCTTGATAGAAAAGGTGTGAAGTGGGGGGCTGGGAAGTGGGGGGCTCAGTGGTAGAGTGCTTGCCTTGCATGCTTGAGGCCCTGGGTTCGATTCCTCAGCACCACATAGTCAAAAAGAAAAAAGCTGGAAATGTCGCTGTGGCTCAAGTGGTAGAGCGCTAGCTTTGAGCTGAAGAGCTAAGGGACAGGGCCCAGGCTCAGAGTTCAGGCCCCACGACTGGACCCCCCCCAAAAAAATCTTCAGGGCTGAGTCCTGTGAACAGAAAAAGTATTAAGTGTTAGCTTTGAGTGACTGGGTAGAGCAAGACAATGGCTCAAGGCAGGGAGGACTGAGTTGCACAAAGATGGGTGTGTTCCCTGCAGTGGGACCTGCAAAAGCCCTGGAAAGGAAGCTGGGATGACAGGGCTCTATTCCTTGGGTGGAGCTAGCTTTGTTCCAATGAGGAGGGAAACTCTTGGAGGATTTGTGCTCCATAGGCTTGGCCATCATGTAGAGACTGTGGTAAGGACCCAGGCATGCAGCCTAGCATGCAGCCAGTTAGACTTGCTGGGCATTGATGTGAAGCTTCGGGAGGCAGGGCTGCTCTGGGCAGAGCAGGAGCTGGAGCGGATTGTGTAAGGAGAAGAACAGTGACTTCCGCTGTGACCTGGTTAAACCTGAGGAGCAAGCAGCCCCCTGGATTAGGAGAATAGCTAGTGGTCACCCCGATCCACAGGGCAAATGAGGTCAGCTGAGCCCTAGCTCTCCAGGATGGAGACATTGGAACAGGGGCTTGCAGGAGGACCCCTGAGGAAAGGTGACGTCTCAGAGGACAGAGAAACCTGAGTATCCTGCCATCTTTGGCAGGGTGAGGATGGGTAAGGAGTTCAGAGGCTGGCTGAAACAGATGTGGAATGAAGAGGAAATAGAGATTATCGGGGGAGTGTCTATAATGAGAGGACAAAAGCCTGGAGCTAGGGCCAACAGGGCCCAGGGTGTAAGCGGCATCTACCAGAAAAAGCAGTCCCATGGAGGGGAAGAACAACACAGGTGCCTCTAGGTAGAGGGGCTTGCTGATACCATTGCAGAAAGGTAGATGTTTGACATAGCATGACCACTCCCAAAGATGCTACAGCCACAGACAGGTCCTGTGAGGGGTGCAGGCCCTTGCTGCTTGGGCACAACAAGGCACAAGGGTCAGAGTAATGCTGAGCTGGCCAACCACAGGCCTGAGCCCATGTGTGGTCCTGAGCGCATGGCCACTGATCAGAGACGAGTGAGGAGGGGCTTGCCCAGCTTTCCACCCGCAGCAAGTATCTGACTCTTGGTAAGTCTGACTGTAACCAGTCCTCTTGTCCCTTCTTCAGAAGCTGGGGAAGCTGTGCTTCCTGACACACCAAAGATGCTGAAGCTGGCCGAACAGTGTCTGGAGAGGGCCCAGTCAACAGCCACCAAGCTTGGTGGGTTCTCCCAGGCACCCGCAGTTAGCATCTGCTTTGTGAGACAGGGAACAGCCTGCTGACCCCTGGCTGCATATGGTTTGTAGGGAAAATGCGCTTGAAGCCAGCCATGCCCGCAGCTCCTCCAGCTCCTTTGCCTACCAGCCGCCACCGCCGGGTGTGTTCAGATGAAGGAGGGAAGCTTTCTCCTTTCCTGCCACCAGAGATCTTCCAGAAGATGCAGGTGGCAGAGTCACAAACCTCTAAGAAGTAAGATGGGCAAAGTGGGAGATGCTTTGAGCCTGGGTTTGGGTGTGGAGGTGAAACAGAATGCTTGGTTACAGTGGGTTCCAGGGTAGAAGCACTCATTCTCCTGCAGGAAGCAAGTGCAGATCCTCTGAGGAAGAAAGTGCATTCCTCTCTCTTTGAATTAATCGCACACAATCAGAGCCAAACAGTAAAGGAAACGAGAACTGAGGAAATGGTAACAGAAACAGACAGTCTCTGTCTAGCTAAACACAGACTAAACAACTTGTGTTTAGAAATAACATTCCGAAAATACCTGAACAAGAAAGTATAAAGTTTCTGGGTTCTGGTGGCTCACACCTGTAATCATAGCTACTCAAGAGCCCGCCGTGATCTGAGGATCTGTTTGAAGCCAGCCAGGCAGACAGATCTTTGAGGCTTGTATCTCCAATTAACTAGCAAAAAGCCAAAACTGCAGGTGCAGCTCAAGTGGTAGGTTGCCAGCCTTGAGTTGAAAAAAGCTAAGCACGAGCAGAGAGGGGAGGGGAAGGGAGAGCCAGTGAAATGAAACAAACAATGATGAAGGTATTTCTAAAAACTGGTTGAGAATAAAAATAAATTATATTTTCTGGTGGAATTCTGCACAGACAATAAAAATGAGTGAATAGGCCAGAATTATCACTGGCATATGCCTTTAATTCCAGTGTAAATTTGAGACCAGGCTTGCTTGTTTTATTAGACTCTAAAAATAAGAGAGAGAGAATATAAAACAGTAAAGCAGACATAGCTGAAAAAAGAATAAATTGGTGGTAAAGGTCAACAGATATCCAGGAGACATGACAAAAACAAGACTAAAAGCAAGAAAATGAGAATACCTGACATTGTTTCTTGGAGTTCCAAATTGAAGAAAGGCTTTATTTGGAAACAATAGTTTTCTTTCTTTTCTTTTTTTTTTTTTGGGTCGGTCGTGGGCCTTGAACTCTGGGCCTGGGCTGTCCCTCAGCTCTTCTGCTCAAGGCAAGCGCTCTACCACTTGAGCCACAGTGCCACTTCCAGTTTTCTGGTGGTTTATTAGAGATAAGAGTCTCACGGACTTTCCTACGCGGGCTGGCTTTGAACCGAGATCCTCAGATCTCAGCCTCCTAAGTAGCTAAGATTACAGATGTGAGCTATCGGTGCCCGATGAAAACAGTAGTTTTCTAGAACAAAAGATAACTTAAACTTCAGGATGGACTCTCCTTTCTTGGTCTTGCTTTTTCCCGCCTCATTCTCTCTATGACCCCTGAAGCAGTAGAGGGATGATGTTATACCTTGCCAACTGAAAACATTTCACTTGAAAATTTGTGGGTTGCAGACAAATCTCACTGTTGACTTATGCAGAGCTCCGTGTTGTTGCAACAGATATATAGCTGATTCTCATAAAAGTCCAGATGACCAGCTTCTCTTGAGTCATGAGTCCTGAACATGTCAAGGCCCATATTTCAGCAGATTAGAAAGGACAGGTACTTTTAGATCACCCAGACAACCCCTTCTCGTTCTTTCCTTCTGGTCTGAAAGCGGGGTCAGGAAGATAAGGTGATCTTTTCCTGACCTGAAAGGGAAGTTTTCAGAGCACTCCTGGGCTCCTGGGGTGTGGATGGCAGCTTGTCACTATTATCAGGGAGCTGACACCACTGGAAGAAGCCTCACTGCAGAACCAGAAGCTGAAGGCCACATACGAGGCTAGGATGGCCCGTCTGGATCCCCGCCAGGCTACGCAGAAGACTGCACTGGTAAGTGGCACTCAAGGTGCATTTGGCATTAGTTGGGGGAAAAAAAAGGTCCAGGGTAGATTAAAGGTGGGCTTCCTTCTTCCTTCTCCTCCTAGACCCTGTCTCTGCAGCGGCAGATGATGGAGAATCTGGTGATCGCCAAAGCCCGGGAGGAAAAAGCATCCTTGAGCAGAGATAGAGCTGGGCTTGGAGAAAGTGGGTAGAGGGAGAGGAGAGCTGCATGTGAGGTCAGCCGTGGGACAGAGCATCTTCCCAGCTCTGGGGAAGTGTGTCCTGAGGAAGACGCTGTTGCCTCTCTGGCCTCTGCACAAACTGCCCTCCACCCTCCCAGCACCACACAGCTCCTCTCATCCTTCAAGTTGCCTGAGATTTGCCTCTCAGTCACATTCCTGGGAAGAGCCCTCCCTGAGTTGGTTTCTGTCCTTCTGCCTTGCCCACTGCTGGGCTGTATCTGTAGAGGGCAAGCATAGTTTCACCAGCCTGGGGACCCCGACTCGTAGGGCACAGAGGGAGTGTGGGACTTCAGAGGGGTGGGGAGAGGCAGGTCCGCTCAGGTCAGACCGTGCCGGCCCTTGACTCTGCCATCTCAGCTCCAGCGGAAGATGGAGGAGCGCCGCCTTCGGCTCCAGGAGGCTGCCAACAGGTGCCCTTCTGCCAGCCTCGCCCCGCAGGCCGTGCTGGGGGCCTGCGGGCTCTGTGCCCACAGGCCCGGCGCCAGGGCCTCAGGGTGTCTGTGTTCCTCCCCAGGCGGTTCTGCAGTCAGGTTGCTCTGACTCCAGAGGAGCGGGAACAGCGCGCCCTCTACGCAGCTATACTGGAGTACGAGCAGGACCATGTAAGTACTGGCAGGGCCAGGGTCACCTGAGGCTTCAGGAATTTGGTCTGCCCCACACCCCAAGGAAGACCCCAGCACGACCCCGGCAGGGGTGAGGGTATCCATGGTGGGGGACCTACTTTGCTTTCCTCCAAGGCCCCCTGTCCTGCAGGACTGGCCAAAGCAGTGGCGAGCCAAGCTCAAGAGGAGCCCAGGGGACCTGTCGCTGGTGACCAGCCTGGTCTCCCACCTGCTCAGGTACACTGGGCCCCCCAGATCCCATGCCCCAGCCGTGAGATTCTGGAGGATACAGACAGAAGATTATTTAGGAAGGGGAGGGAGGAAAGTGTTGGAGACCCCAGCTCTCAGGAACAGCAGGCCTCAGGCAAGGAGGTCATATGGTGCCTGTGCCACTGGCGGCTGGGCTGGCAGCTCCAAGGGCCGATGGCGGACGGCTTTTACTTGGCTTCATTTACCTTCCTGAGCTGAGGCAAGTGACTCTTGGGATATCCACTAGCAGGAAACTATGGGAGTCACTTCTCTCAAATCTTTCCAAGTGGGCAACTTTACAGACAGGTAGATGTCACAGACAAGGGCCGAAGGCTCAGAAGGCTGAGGCCGATATCAGGTACTGGGGACTGGTTTCTCAGCCCTGGGACCACAATCAGTAGGTGACAGCCCTGCCCGATGCCACTGGCGCCCCTGTGGTCCCAGCTCTGCTAGGGCCAGAGTAGTGGGCGGGCAGTGGGGCACGCCTTCCTGTGTGGCCTCCTCAAGGTCTTTGCTGCACTTGCTCCTCTCCTTGCAGTCTTCCCGACCACCCAATCTCACAGCTCCTAAAGAAGCTCCAGTGTGCCGTGTATGGTGCTCTGTACTCCATTGTGAGCCAGACTGCCATCAGTGCTGCATCTGCTCCGGGCTGCTGCTCCTTGCCCCCAGACACCAACAGACTGCTGGCTCCCGGAAGCCGGCGGCTCCGGTCCTCCCAGAGTCTTTACTGCATGCTGTCCCCACCAGAGCCCAGCACAGCCCCAAAGCCACAGGATGGACCCCCTGCTACCCCCTCCACTCCCCAGCTTCACCCTGGTCCCCTGGAGAGAGGGGTAGACGGCAGCAGGCCTCCCTCACCCCTGGTGGACACCTCATCATGCCTGCCAGACAAGGACAGCTCCTTTGAGGACCTGGAACGGTTTCTGGCTGCATCTGAGAGATGGGGCCGGGGCCCTGGGAGCCACCCTGAGCCACAGACCCCAGGAGCAAAGAGGGAACCCGTGCTGGAACACCTGAAGAGCACCGTGAAGGACATTCACAACGCCATTGGTGAGCCACAGCGCTGGGACTGTGGCCAGCAGTGCCGCTTGCCATACCCCGCCCTCTCCGCAGAGCCCCTCAGATGGTGGGCGGGTGTGAGCCGGTTGAGGCCTGTGGAAGGGCCAGACAGAGTGTCCTCCCCATGGCTCTGCCACACAGAGGCTGGTCCTGGGCTTGGAGCGTCTGGAGACTACAGGTGAGGGGCCTGTCTAGACATCCCCAGCTCTGCTTTTGGCAGACAGGCTGCTCTCCCTGACCCTTCTGGCCTTCGAAAGCCTGAACACAGCTGCCTGCAAGGACCGCTGCCTGGCCTGCATTGAAGAACCCTTCTTCTCCCCGCTGTGGCCCATGCTGCTTGCCCTCTACAGGTACAGCCCCCGCCCAAAGGACCCTCCCGCAGCCTAACGTCTCTAGCACAGTCCCTCAAGAGCCTCCAACATTCTTAAGTACCATCTGCTCTCCTCTGCGTTCCCAAGGCATTTCCATCCAAAAGTGTTTCTAGTTGACGGGTGGGCCTTGCCCACTTCCTAAGTTTGGGGTCTTAGGCAGATGGCGCTCCCCATGACAGAGTTCCCGGGACCACCCATGTCTGGGCAGTTTCCAGGATGGCTAAGCCTGGCCTCTCTCCACCCCAGGAGTGTGCACTACGCACAGGAGGCTGCCCTGAGCAGGAGCATGGAGCTCTACAGGAACGCACCCCCTACCACCCTTGGCATCCCCACCAAGCTCCTCCCCCAGGACCCTGAGGCCAGGGGGGCCAGCACCTACCCCTACTGCACTGCAGCCCAGGAGCTGGGCCTGCTGGTCCTGGAGAGCTGCCCCCAGAAGAAGCTGGAGTGCATCGGTGCGGGAGGTTTGAGAGTCTGGGTCAGATAAGATAGACCCCCATCCTAGTGGGTGGCCTGGGGCCTGTACCCTCCGCTCTGAGCCTCAGTCCCTTTTCCAGTAGATCCCATAAGGGGAAGTTGCCAGCTATTACCATCCATGCACACCAGGAGGTGGGTGGCAGGGCCAGGAAGGGCAGAGCTGTCCTAGCCCCTGAGCGGGAAGCAGCAGCATGGGCTACCCACATACTTGAACCCTTGGGTCTCCATGTCCCTCCTGGGTCTTCCTGTTGAATCTCCAGACCCCTGAAGCCACATTTCTGTGCCACAGTACGGACCCTGCGGGTCATTTGCATCTGTGCAGAAGACTACTGCCGCACCCAGGAGGCCAGGCCGGAGGCCGGACTCCAGCCCCACACGGCTGCCATGTGAGTCCCAGGAGTGCCGGGTGAGAACGCTGCCAGGGAGGCCACCAGCACGTGTGTCCTGCTCTCAGAGGCCTGAGGAGCATCCCCAGAGCCGCCTCTCCGCACAACCATTCCCTATCCCTACATTCACACATCCCAGAGGGCAGGCCCAGGCTTTTTCAGGGTCCCTGGCCAATATGGTGGTAAACAGGGCTGCTCTTCCCGGAAGGACACGCTTGGACTCCCAGGAGGATATTTAGAGACAGCGAGGTACAGACTCCAAGGTCCCTTGGGGGTCTAGAGAAGTCCCCACTATCTGCACTGACATCCCGGCGCCGGGGGGGGGGGGGGGGGGGGGGGGGGGTCCTGAGTCCACCAGCCTGGGTTTCAGGATGCCTGATCCTACCTTGAGCACCTCTGAGACTCAGCTCTGGCCCAGAGCTGATAACCCTCAGCCCTTGCATGAGCTCTGTCTCCTGCCACGCTGCCTCAGGGACAGGGTTAACCCTGAGGCTGCCATTACAGCTAGGGGCTGTGATCTTGCCCTCCACCCCCACAAGGAGAAATCAGAGCTGAGGAAATTCAGGAGCTCCTAACAAGGAGAAAGCAGATGCTTCTTGCCCACTCCAGGTCATGGTATTAGTCCTCCCACTGGAAGGAGTCCACCAAGCCGGCCTGGTACCCCTGGCCCTTTGATTCATTTTAGAATTCCTAGACAAAGTGTTTGCAAGGCTCAGCCTTGACCATGTCAGCCCCCTGTGAAGCCAGGGAGGCTGCATATATCCCTGTGGTCCGCAGGATCCTGAGCAGGTAGAGTGGGCGGTGCAGCCTTGGGGGCCTCTGGGGAGGGGTCAGACCCAAGCCGCAGTCTAGATTCCTCCTTGCAGGATGCGTGTGCCCTCCCTAGTGCAGTCAGACCCCTTCTGAGTGGGGCTGGGTCCCAGTGCAGCTGTAATCGACCCCTGGTTTCAGCTTTCTTCTGCCCCCTGGCTCCTGAAAGTCTGGAAAGGTGAAAAGGACTGCAGTGTGTCCAGTCTCCATTTAGAGACTGTCACCGTGGCCAGGAGGTGTTCTGTACTACTGGTGGATGGGGGGTATAGGGACTGCAGCCCACCAAGCCAAGACTAACTCCAGAGGCCTCTCCCAACCTTTGTGTCTTTGCCCAGCAGTGGTGCTGATGACCTGCTACCAATCCTGTCCTTTGTGGTGTTAAGGAGCGGCCTACCCCAGCTGGTGTCAGAGTGTGCAGCCCTGGAGGAATTCACCCATGAGGGGTAGGAGTTCAGACCAGCGGCGTGGGGGGCATGTGTTGGGAGCAGGGGATCTGTTTCCACAGGGGGACCTCGCCCCAAATTTAAGTCATGCAGTAACAGACCCTGAGGGCCACGGTAAGCTTGCAGGCCAGGCCACTCAGGCAACATGGATGGGTCCACCTGAGCATGGCGCCCACACCTGTGCTCCTCACAACCCCTGCTGAGGACTGTAGAGCGGAGCTCTGGCCACCTCAGTACCCAGGTCCTTCCCCCGAGGAGCAGGAGCTGCCCTCCACAGTGCTGCGTCCCGTCCGGTGACACGTGCCCCTCTGCCACTTCCATTCAGGTACCTGATTGGAGAGGAGGGCTACTGCCTGACTTCACTGCAGAGTGCCCTGAGCTACGTGGAGCTGCTGGCCCAGGGGGGCCTGGGCAGGTAGTGGAGTCCAGAACCCAAAGGCGCCAGGGACTCCTGAGGACTACTCAGTAGCTTCCATGCTGTTCCGCACAGCTGGCACTGGGACACTACGGGGAAGTTAGCCCTGGCTCCCTTCCTAACCCGAGGCCTGGGGCCACCCTGGGCGCCTCCCAACAGCACAGGACTGAGTCAGCTTCCAGTGCCCGCTGTGCTCTGTCCTGTACTGGCCTCTGAGACCCCCTCAGAAGGGAAGCTGCAGCTGCTGCTCCCCAGGAGCTGCACACTCCTGACAGAGCCTCCTGCAGGGAGTTCGGGTTTGCGTGGGCATGGCTGTGCATCCGTGCTGAGAAGGAGCCAGGAGCCTGACCAAAAGCAGGGGCAGCAAGTCTGGTTTGAGGCTTGTGAGAGTTAAGAGTGAGAATGTCCAGGAGGGCCATGGTGAGGCTGTGCTGTTGGCCTGGTGGTGACTGCCCTGCTTCTCTGCTCACTTCTGCTCCATGTCCAGGGCTCAGAGCTCTGTTCCCTCCCTGGTCGTGGACTCTGCCACCTTGACAGAGGGGTGTGAGCCACAGTTGAATGGTGGCCAGTGTTGATGGCTGTGCAGCCTCTCCTGGGTCAGGGAAAGCCCAAGATCCAGCACCCAGTTACTTACGCATTGTACCACCAACCCAGGACAGAAGAAAGATTATGTTCTGTTTGAATTGTCTGGCTCATTCAGTCTCACCCACTGGCCAGGCAGGAGCCTGGATGCCGGTATCACGGCATGACTACCCTTTGTGACCCGCAGAGACTACTAGGAACAGGTACTGAGAAGCCAAAGCACCTCCTGGAGGGTTGCTGGCCAGGCAGATGTGGGCTTCCCCCTCCACGAAGCACAGCTCTGCCGGGCATTATGGGAGCCCAGGACTAGAGGTCACGTACCCTGCAGTCCCGAGCCCATGTGTTCTCAGGCAGGACTGTCCAGAAATTTCCATCTCACCTGTCATCCAGCACTGGAACAGAGATGCTGGCTCCCATCTGCCCTGCAACATGCTGGTCCCCTGCTCCTGATGAAGCACACACTTGCCACACAACCGACGTTGGCTCCTCTGCTGATTCCAAGAGTCTCACCAGTTTACATAGTTCGTTGTGCTTGAAGCACTGTGTCCTCACTCCCTCGGCCTGGATATGAACACCACAAGTACTCTGGGAAGTCAAAATTAACACCCTTGGGATTAGAGGTGTGACAGAGTCCCAGCCGGAAGTGAAAAAGCCAAGCAAGGGTATGAGAGGCCCTGAATTCAAGCCCCAGTACTAGCATTACAAAGAAATGGCTGGGAAGGTGGCTCAGTGGTGGAGTGCTTGCTTAGGAAGCATGAAGCCCTGGGCCCAATTCCTCAGTCCATGCACAGAAAAAATGGGAAGTGGTGCTGTGGCTCAAGTGGTAGAGTGCTAGCCTTGAGCAAAAGTAGCTCAGGGACAGCGCCCAGGCCCTGAGTTTAAGCCCCAGGACTGGCAAAAAAAAAAAGCGTAGGAGGGGCTCCAAATTGCAAACACAATAAAGAATTGCAAGTTAAAAAGAGAAACGTCATACCTGTCAGAATGTAATTGGGAAAGTTTTAGGATGATCTGCATTAGGTAAGTATGGATGGACACACTGACAAAAAGTCTGGCCCCATTTTGAGACTAGGGTCTATGAAAGGATGTGTGAGATCGCAGGAAAGGCAATGCAGAGAACTTGTGGCTGCTAAACACAAAGGCACTCCTGTTGTTTTTGCCAGTGCCTGGCTTGGACTCCAACACTGTGGTCTTTCTGGAGCTCTGTCACCTGAGCCACCCCAGCTCATGTGTGATTTTGTCGTTCCCCAGGACGGGCTTGGGGGGCTGTGTCCCCCACCTTCCCCAGGATGGGCTTGGGGGGCTGTGTCCCCCACCTTCCCCAGGACGGGCTTGGGGGGCTGTGTCCCCCACCTTCCCCAGGACGGGCTTGGGGGGCTGTGTCCCCCACCTTCCCCCGTGCTTGGGGGGCTGTGTCCCCCACCTTCCCCCGTGCTTGGGGGGCTGTGTCCCCCACCTTCCCCCGTGCTTGGGGGGCTGTGTCCCCCAGCGTGGGCAGGGCAGGCTCTGAGTCGGGCGGCCCTGCGGGCTGACCCGCTGACCCTCCGGCCCTGCGTCCTCACTGAGGTCGAGGACCTCCGCACAAGGGCAGGAGGCCCGCCCGCATGTCCGCCGACGGCCGTGACAAGCCGGGGCTCGGGGGCGAAGCGGCGCCGCGGTGGAGGCCGCCAGGCCACGCTTCAAAGGGAGCCCGCAGAGCGCGCGGGCCCGGAGGCCGCGAACGGCGCAGGCGCGCGGGGGGCGCGGCGCCGGGCCTTCCGGGCTCGGCCCCGCCCACACGCGGGCCCCGCCCACGCCGCCGGGGGCGGGGCGGCGCAGAAACCACGCCCTCTGCGTCGCGGCCGGCGCCTCGGGGCGGGGCCGGCGTCCGGCGGAAGTTCGCGGCCGGCGGCGGCTGGAGGTGGCTGGGCCCGACGGCGCGCGCCGCCCGGGTCTCCGGCGCGTCCTAGGGGCCGAGGGGCACTGCCGGAGCGCCGCGCCGCGCCGCGCCCGCCGGGATGGGCAGCAGCTCGCTGTCCGAGGACTACCGCCTGTGCCTGGAGCGCGAGCTGCGGCGGGGCCGCGCGGGCGTGTGCGGGGACCCCTCGTTGCGCGCGGTGCTCTGGCAGATCCTGGTGGAGGACTTCGACCTGCACGGGGCGCTGCAGGACGACGCCCCGGCGCTGCTCTCCGACGGCCTGTGGGGCCGGGCCGACCTGGCGCCCGCGCTGCGCGACCTGGCCCGCGCCTTCGAGCTCCTGGAGCTGGCCGCCGTGCACCTCTACCTGCTGCCCTGGCGGAAGGAGTTCACCACCATCAAGGTGGGGCGGCCGGGGGCGGGCGCGCAGGGGGGCGGGCGGGCGCGGCCGGGGGGGGGGGGGCGCGCGAAGGGCGTGCGCGCAGGGGGGCGGGCGGGCGCGCGGAGGGGCGGCCGGGGGCGTGCGCGCAGGGGGGCGGGCGGGCGCGCGGAGGGGCGGCCGGGGGCGTGCGCGCAGGGGGGCGGGCGGGCGCGCGGAGGGGCGGCCGGGGGCGTGCGCGCAGGGGGGCGGGCGGGCGCGCGGAGGGGCGGCCGGGGGGCGTGCGCGCAGGGGGGCGGGCGGGCGCGCGGAGGGGCGGCCGGGGGCGGGCGCGCAGGGGGGCGGGCGGGCGCGCGGAGGGGCGGCCGGGGGCGTGCGCGCAGGGGGGCGGGCGGGCGCGCGGAGGGGCGGCCGGGGGCGTGCGCGCAGGGGGGCGGGCGGGCGCGCGGAGGGGCGGCCGGGGGCGGGCGCGCAGGGGGGCGGGCGGGGGCGGCCGGGGGGGGGGGGCGCGCGAAGGGCGTGCGCGCAGGGGGGCCGAGGGGGGCGCGCAGGGGGGCCGAGGGGGGCGCGCAGGGGGGCGGAGCGGGGCCGCGCAGGGGGGCGGGCGCGGCCGGGGTGGGCGCGCGGAGGGGGGGCGCGGCCGGGGGTGGGGGCGCCGGAGGGGGGGCGCGGCCGGGGGGGCGCGGCCGGGGGGGGCGGGCGCGGCCGGGGGGGGCGCGGCCGGGGGCGGGCGTGCGGGCTCCGGCTTCCTCCGCGCGTCACCGCGCGCGTGGGCGGGCTGCGCCCCCGCCGTTGCCGAGGCAACCGCGGAGCCCGGCGGGGCGCTGGAGGGGCCGCCGGTGCCGGCTGCCCGGAGTTTTCATTCCTCCGGTGCGGCGAGAGGGGAGCGGGGGAGGGCCCGGGCGGCCCGGAGGAGCTCCCTCCCGGCTGGTTCCAAACAGAAACCCGTGATGATGCAGGAAGCAGAGAACAGTGCTTAGCAGCTACTCGCTAGGCGCGGTAGTGCCTGGACACGACGGTTTCTTTCTGGGCTTGGACTCGGGGCCTGGGCACTGTCCTGGAGCTCTTACCACGTGAGCCACAGCACCACTTCTGGCTTTTCCCGTTGATGTGGTGCTGAGGAATCGAACCCAGGGCTTCATGCATGCTAGTCAAGCCTCTGCCACTGAGCCACCTTCCCAGCCCCAGACAGGATAATTTCAGGCTTAAGGACAGCCTGAGCTATGTAGTGAAGATCTTGTCTCAAAAACAAAAACTAGCCGGGCACTGGTGGCTCACGTCTGTAATCCAAGATACTCGGGAGGCTGAGATCTGAGGGTCAGGGTTCAAAGCCAGCCCGGCAGGAAAGGTCCTTGGTGAGATTCTTATCTCCAATAAACCACCAGAAAATCGGAAGTGGCGCTGTGGCTCAAGTGGTAGAGTGCTCGCTTTGAGCCGAAGAGCTGAGGGACAGCGCCCAGGCTGAGTTCAAGCCCCATGAGTGACAAAAACAAAAAACACCCAGGGCTGGGAAGGTGGCTCAGTGGTAGAGCGCTTGCCTTGCATGCCTGAGGCCCTGGGTTCGATTCCTCAGCATCACATAAGAAAAAAGCCGGGAGTGGCGCTGTGGCTCAAGTGGTAGAGCGCTAGCTTTGAGCTGAAGAGCTGAGGGACAGCGCCCAGGCCCAGAGTTCAGACCCCACGAACGGACCAAAAAAACCCAAAAACCCTATTAGCCTAGTATGAGCCTATCATACAAGTTGTAGCAGGGCATCAAATTGGAGGCCAGGCTAAGCTACATGATGAGACCTCAGAAACACAAGGGCTGAGGGGCTGGGCATGCGGCTTGGTAGACTGCTTGCCTGGCGTGCATGATGCCCTGAGTTCCATTCCTTAATACCACATACACAGAGAAAGCTGGAAGTGATGCTGTGGCTCAAATGGTAGAGCGCTAGCCTTGAACAGAAGCAGCTCAGGGACAGTGCCCAGGCCCTGAGTTCAAGCCCAGGACTGGCACAAAAAAGAACAAGTGAAAACCAAGGGTTGTTGGTGCATGTCAGAGAGAGGAGGGTACCTGCCTGGTGTGCACAATGCCCTTGACTCAAACCCCAGCATGAGGGAGGGGGACAATAAGGCAAATGTCTGACCTACTGACCTGGAGTGTAGATGTTTTTTGTTTTGAGCCAGGTGAGGTGTGTGTGTTTGGGCACTGTCAGTGAGCTTTTTTTTTTTGTTGGTCGTGGGGGTTGAACTCTGGGCTTGGGCGCTGTCCCTGAGCTCTTCAGCTCAAGGCAAGCGTTCTACTGCTTGAGCCCCAGCGCCACTTCCAATTTTCTAGTGGTTTATTGGAGATAAGAATCTCACACTTTTCTGCTCAGGCTGGCTCTGAATCATGATCCTCAGATCTCAGCCTCCTGAGCAGCTAGGATTACAGGTGTGAACCCCTGGCTCAGTGAGTTTTTTTTTTTTTTTTTTTGTGCAAGGCTAGTGTTCTACCATTTGAGTCAAAGCTCTCCTTCCCGATTATTGGTGGTTAATTGGAGATAAGAGTCTCATGGATCTCTTGGCCCCAGAAAAGGCCCAGGGGGAGACTGGGGTGCTCAGACCTCAGCTTCCAGAGTAGCTAGGACTATAGAGATGAACCAGGAGCTCCCAGTCCAGGCTTGAACTCTGGGCCTGGGCGCTGTCCCTCAGCTCTTCAGCTCAAGGCGAGCGCTCTACCACTTGAGCTACAGCGCCACTTCCGGTTTTCTGGTGGTTTATTGGAGATAGGAGTCTCACAGTCTCTCCTGCCCGGGCTGGCTTTGAACCGCGATCCTCAGATCTCAGCCTCCTGAGTAGCTAGGATTACAAGCGTGAGCCACCAGCGCCCGGCCCCAGGTGACTATTTTTAACTGAAATGTGTAGTCTTAGTGAGGCTGAGATCTGAGGATCATGGTGGTTCAAAGCAATCCAGGCAGGAAAGTCTGTGAGACTCTTCTCACCAATTAATTATTTAAAAAACTCTTAGAAGTGGAGCTGAGACTCAGTACAGCACTAGTCTTGAGCAAACAGGCTTAGAACAGTGCCCAGGCCCTGCGTTCAAGCTCCAGGACAGGCACACATGCATACACAAAAACAACTTTAGCATGTTAACATCCAGGTCTGCCTCAGGTGAGTTAGACCAGTCTTGGGACGGGCAGAGATTCAGAAGCTTTGGTCTGGCCAAAGCAGGGCTGGCTAAGCCTGGATGGGCAGCCCGCCACCCATTAGAGGATGGTCCTGGGGTCCCACTGTGACCAGGTCCCTCCTTTGCAGACCTTCTCTGGAGGCTATGTGCATGTGCTGAAAGGCGTGCTCTCCGAGGAGCTCCTCATTAGAAGCTTCCAGAAGATGGGCTACGTGCGCCGGGACCACCACCGCCTGACGGTGGCTGCTCTGCCTCCTGCCTGCCAGTTGGTGCAGGTGGCCCTGGGCTGCTTTGCGCTTCGGCTGGAGTGTGAGATCCTGGGTGAGGTGCTGGCACAGCTGGGCACCAGCGTACTGCCAGCAGAAGAACTGCTACAGGCACGGCGGGCCAGTGGGGATGTGGCCTCCTGTGTGGCCTGGCTGCAGCAGCGTTTGGCCCAAGATGAGGAGCCACCACCCCTGCCCCCCCGGGGCGCCTCTGCATTTGGGGTCCCGTTAGACCTGTACAGGGACCTGCAGGGTGACGAGGGCTTGGAGGAAGCCAGCCTGTATGAAGAGCCCTCCCCAGGGCCAGACTCGCCTCCTGTGGAACTGAGCTATAGGCCACCGCTCTGGGAGCAGAGTGCCAAACTATGGGGGTCCGGGGGCCGGTCCTGGGAGCCCCCAGCTGAGGACCTGCCTCAGGCTAGCAGCTCACCCTATGGGGCCCTAGAGGAGGAGCTGGATCCTGAGCCCTCTGCCTTCTCCTTTCTATCCCTGCGCCGAGAGCTGAGTCGGCCTGAGGACCTGGCTGTTGCGGAGGTCCCTGGGAGCCCTGGGCAGGCCAGCCCCCGGCACAGCCAAGTAGGGGAAGCACCAGCTTCCGCCTACGGGCCTGTCCCTGAGCCCCTGGCCTACCAAGCACACAGCTGTCTGGCTCCTGGAGCCCTGCCCACCCTCTGCTGTGACACCTGTCACCAGCTACATGCTGCCCACTGCGCGGCCCTGCCAGCATGCCGACCAGGTCACTCGCTGCGTGTCCTGCTGGGCGACACGCAGAGGCGCCTGTGGCTGCAGCGGGCACAGATGGACACCCTGCTGTATGACAGCCCCGGGCCGCACCCCTAAGCCCACCTGCGCCCCAGGTCCCATGGGTGCAGGAGAGTTTCCATGGTGCTTCTCTTGGGGAGTGGCTTGGGCCACTGGCTGCTCTGGCCTTCTGTCCCCAGGGGAGTCCAGGCTCTACCCACTGGGAGGGGCAGAGCCTTCAACAAGTCACTCCGGTCTGAGGTCTCAGCCTTAGCTAGCAGCAGGTCCTAAGCCAGACTAACAAGGACCTTCCCAGAAGTCTTTGTCCTCATGCCCAGAGGTGCTCAGTAGCGGGCCAAACCTGTTCCAAAGAGGACCCCCCCCCCCCATTCCCTTTAGAAGTCTGCCAACAGCCTGTGGCTCAGGACATAGCCCCCACATGCCTGGGATCCTCCAGGCCTGCAGGTGGCTCTCCTCCTGGCGTCAGTCTGGAGGTGTCGGTAGCTGTAGAGGTCTGGCAGCAGAAAGTGCTGGCTGAGGAAAGACTGATTCTCAGTACCCAGCTGCCTCACGAAGGAAGCTCAGAGTCCTGCAGCCATCTCACTGGTTGACTGTCCGTGGTGGGGCCATGCAGCTGCTGCCGGGCAGCACAACACACACGGGGGGAACCGTGGTCCCCTAGCCTGGAGGGGACAACTACTGTTCTGCATGACTCTCAGCTTGCGCTGTGTCCCAGCCCCAATCCCTCTCCCCGGCCCACTCACTGCCATGTTGCATAGCACATTAAAAGACAATTTGAGACCTTGTCAGAGATGCTTTTATTTCTTCCCCTGGGGTGGGAGCCTGCTGCCTCTCCTGGGCAGCAGGGCTATTCTAGGGCCTATGGAGGCCCGCCAGGCCTGGTCCCTCCTCCTCACCAGGGGCACCCTAGGAGTTACCATCACCTATGCCCCTGGGTGGCCTGTGAGATCCGGTGTGAGTGGTGTGATGATCTGAGGCTTGCTTCGAAGGCCTGTGCCCAGCTTCGTTTCCAAGACTCCACTCCATTGGACCAGCACAGTTTCTGCCCTGCTCTTGCCAGATGGCCCCTCCTTGTGCATGGGCCTGCAGTCCCGGTCAGCCTGGCTCAGAGGGGAGCTGCCTGTCCACTGCTGACGCATGGTCTGGGGAGGGCATGTCGTCCAGTCTCAGGGTTTGCCTCGCCTACTCTGGCCCTCAGCTGTGGCAGGAGCAGCCCGCTTATTGCGGTGGTGTGGGAAGGTGGGCATGAGTTCTGGCTCACAGGCTGTAGGATACACACACAGGGTGCTAGCTGGGGATGGGTTCCCAGGTATACCCGGCTGCAGGTATTGATCCAGAATTCTCCCCCCCAGGGATGCTCAGTTCTGCCCTCCCCACAGGCACAGCTGTGCACTAGGAGCCCTCTTGGTACGAACAGAAAGGGCCACTGGCAAAGCTCCCCAAGTGCAGGGCCCAAGACAGTCTGGGGAACTCACGTAGAGGCTTCTCCTTGAAGTAGGAGCTCTCCAAGCAGTCTGCTGCTGTTGCCCTGTAGAAAGACACCGAGTACTGAGGCCCTGGCCTCAGTAGGCCTGTGTTCCTCACACCCCTGCCTAGCCCAACCATCTCCAGAAAAAAAAGTGGGCAGTTAAAAACAGGTTGGGGCGGGGCTCTGGTAGCTCACTCCTGTAATCCTACTCAGGAGGCTCAGATCTGAGGATCATGGTTCAAAGCCAGCCCGGGCAGGAAAGTCCCATGAGACTATCTCCAATTAACAAAAACCCAAAAATGGTGCTGTGGCTTAAGTGGTAGAGCGCTCACCTTGAGCTGAAGAGCTCAGGACAGCGCCCAGGCCTAGGGTTCAAGCCCCATGACCAACAAAAAAACAGGTTGGGGGCTGGGGATGTGGCTTAGTGGTAGACGCTTGCTTAGCATTTGAAGCCCTGGTTTGATTCTTCAGTGGCACTGTGGCTCAGGTGATAGAGTGCTAGCCTTGAGCAAAAGCAGCTTGGGCAGAGCCCAGCCCCGAGTTCAAGCCCCAGGACTGGCAAAATATAAAAAGAAAAATAGGCTGGGGGCCCAAAACTGACAGCTTCAGATTGGACTCCAATAACCCAGGAGAGCAAATGGGGTGGGTGGCCTGGTATACAGGCAGCTACATGTCTGAGGAGGAATGTCTAGCCCATCTTCTGAGAAACCACCAAAAAACACGTTTTTAGTTGGATTTGGGTGTAGCTCAGTAGTAGAACACTTGCATGTAAAGGTCCTAGGTTCAATCCCAAGCACCACAGAAAATAAGGGGGAACTGAAAGTGTGACTCAAGTGCTAGCATGTAGCTGTGAATGAAAAGCAGGGTGGACACCCCTGGCTGAGTTCAAGCTGCAATGTCACCTGCACGTGCATCACATACACACGCACACACATATACATAACAGACACATACATAACACAAGCACACCGGGACTCAAATCAGCATCACACCTTTTCTTGGGGTCATACATGAACAGGAAGTTGAGCAGGCGCAGTCCAGCCTCTGACAGCCATGGGAACTTGTGCTTGAGGTTGTTGTAAGGCTGCTTTCGCAGGCTGTACTGGTTTGCCAGTGGGAGCTTGGAAAAACCCTGTGGGAGGTAGTAGATGAAGCCACAGTAGGGCCAGGCCCAGACACACAGAGGTTCACGGCTGCACAGGGCACCCACCGGCCAGATGTTCTCACTGGGTGTCCCCAGCAGCTGTACAATCAGGTCAATCTGGTGGATCTCAGAAGTGCCAGGGAGGAGAGGCTTATGGGCCAGCAGCTCAGCTAGGATGCAGCCCACAGCCCTGCAGGAAGAGCAGCCAGGCCTCCACACCATCTCACGGTGCCCGTGAGGGGAGGGACAGACAACTGCCAAGCCCCCACAGGACCAGTGACAAGGGCAGGCCTTCCTGCACACCTGAGTGCAAACACTCAAGCTGCATTCCCATGCTTCCTCTTGGATCCCAGGCAGGCCCAGTCCCTGGGGGCTGGCAAACACTCCGGCCCCACTCCTGCCCCTGTCCTGGGGCTGGCCCCAGGAGCACCAGCCAAGCTTACCACATATCGATGCTGGTGGTCTGGGTGGTGGTTCCTAGCAGCAGCTCGGGGGCTCGGTACCTGCAGACAAAGGCCTTACTTCACCTCTGGCCAGTTTGACATGCAGCCCAAGCTGAGCCTCCACTGGAAGCGCTAGAGGGCCCAACAGGATTACACTGGGATACACACAGTTAACAGCTGTCACTGGAGAAAGCCACAGGCCCTGCGTGTAGAACCACTGGATCCTCAGCACAGACCCATGCCTACCAGCCCAATTTTGGATGGGGCTACGTGACAAGAGTGCTTGTGTTAAGATCATAAGAGTCTAAAGGACTCCAGTCTCCTGCAGCTCTGGTTTTAAAAACAAAGTGCTGGGCACTAGTGGCTCACACCTGTGATCCTATATTCAGGAGGCTTAGATCTGAGGATTGAGATTCAAAGCCAGCCTTGGGCAGGAAAGTCCACGACAGTTATCTCCAATTAATGATGGAACTGTGGTTAAAGTGGTAATGCACTAGTCTTGAACACAAAAACTCAGGGACAGCACCCAGACCCAGAGTTCAAGCTCCAGGACCAGCAGAAACAAATGATAAAAAAAACAGAAAGAAAAGAAAAGCCACCCAGCCACCCTCCCTTCAGGGGGAGGCGCAACCTCCTCCAAAAATGGCTTTAGAGCCAGGCTGTTTCTGAGTACCTTAGAGCAAGATAACGTCCAGTCTAGATGGGAGGTGCATCTGGGTCACGGAGTTGCTGAGCCTGGCTGCCACCCTTTTCCTTGGGACCCGCAGCACCCGGTGTGCAGCCCCATTCTGTGCATTTCTAACATCTGCCTTACAATTTCAAAGGACTCACCAGAGGGTAACCACCTTGGGGGTCATTGGCTTTACTGGAACACCATATGCGCGGGCTAGGCCGAAATCAGCTACAGCAGAGGCAGAGGGGAGGGAGCGTGTCACTCAGTAAGGGCTGACCCACTGTCAGTGCACTGAGCCAGACTTGGGTATCCTAGGGCCAAGCAGACAGACAAGCCAGCCTCCAGCTACCAGGGCACTTAAGTGAGCACCAGAACCCGCCCCAAGGATGTGCTCATGGAAAGCCACCTCCATCCAGACAGAGCCTGCACCCACCTGTCTTCACACAGCCCTTGTCTGTCATGAGCAGGTTGGAGACCTTCAGGTCCCTGTGACAGAAGAGAACACTAGTTGCAGGAAGCAGCACCACAGTGGATACACAATATCGGTCACATCTGAGCCTTATACAAGCAGTGGCCTTTGGGTGGGCCGTAGGCTAAGAGAGGTGGGCAACAGTGAGGAGTGAGGACACTAGCAGCCGGTAACCAGAGCTCTTAGTAACCAAGGAAGTGGCAGCGCCGGGCCACTGCTCCAGCAGGGCCAACACAAGCCACACAGCAGGGACCCAGGGCTTCAAGGCCCTTTCCAGTTGCAGCCAGCCCCTCACTAAGACTTCAGGCTGGGCTGAAATGCTCTGCTCACCTGGCCTTTGGGCTACTCTCTCCACCCACCCTATTTTCCAGAAGGGAGACCGATGGGACTTTCCAGACTTGTTTGCTCCCTGCTCCTTCATAGGGAGCAATGAAAATGCCTACAGGTGCCTGTTCCTCTCCTGCAGGCACTTGGAATAAGTGCTGTGGAGAGCAGAACTGTCCGGGCCCTGACCCTTTCGCTCTCCTCCTGCTGCCCCTGCCCACCTGTGGATGATGAAGTTCCTGTGCAGGTACTGGAGGCCCTTGAGCACCTGTAGCACAATACACTTGACCTGTGTGGAGGGCCAGAGGAGTTAGGGAGAGCTGAGGATGTTGCCTGGCCACACCACCTCTGTCTATGACTCCAGGAGCAGCAGCCCGACAGCCTAGAGCCTGGTATGGCTGTGTCTGCAGAGTCCCCTTCAGCCTGCTTGTTGTGGGCTGGGAGGCTCGAAGCTCATTTATGGGCTTCTGTACTTCTGTGCCTCACTAAGTCTTGCTGGTGCCATATAGCAGACACACATCCCTAACTATGTCTAGTACAAGCATGTACTGACTAAAGCCTGTGAAATGGTCCCACCCATCTCCTGTGCACCTGGGACTCAGAAAACGGTGTTGGCATATTCTCCAGAAGGCTGGCGAGATCCTGCTCACAGTAACCCATCACCAGGAAGATGCTGGAAGGAAAAAAAAGAAAGATGCACAGTACTTCCCATCTTCTGCCTAGAGCGGGCAAAGAACAAGACCTCCCCTGCTGTAGACAGGATGACCTGGAAGCAGAAGGGCCTTATGGTCGGACCAAAGGGCAGGGGCAGGAGACTGTACCTCTCCAAGTGGTTTCCCACAACCACCTCCTTCAGTTCCACGACATTAGGATGGCGAAGGCGCAGGAGCAGTGTGATCTCCCGCAGACTGCTGATGGGGATGCCTGCAATCACAGGTGTGCCCATGAACCCCTCCACACTCTACCAACACCGAGGACAAGACGCTCAGGGAGCACCAGGCAGTACTAACAACACTGCCAGCCATGGACGATACACCGCAGTACGGGGGCAAGCAGGGTGCTGTGGGATTTGGTGGGGTGGGTGAGGGCAGAGCGGGGCCGAGACAGGAAAGGGTCTGGGGAGAGGGGACGGAGAGTGCCCCAAGCAGAGCTGCGGGAAGCCAGCGGGCCTCGGGGCCCCGGCCCGCTGACCAGCGGGCCTCGGGGGCGCCCGGCCGACTGACCAGCAGGCCTCGGGGGCCCCCGGCCGGCTGACCAGCGGGCCTCCTCGGGGGCCCCCGGCCGACTGACCAGCGGGCCTCCTCGGGGGCCCCCGGCTGACCGGCAGACCTCAGGGGCCCCGGCCGACTGACGAGCGGGCCTCGGGGGCCCCCGGCCGACTGACGAGCGGGCCTCGGGGGCCCCCGGCCGACTGACCAGCGGGCCTCGGGGGCCCCCGGCTGACCAGCGGGCCTCAGGGGCTCCAGCCGGCTGACCAGCCTCTGAAGTGGCTCCTCTCAAACCACAGGCAGGTTTCACCTCGCTACCAAGTCCCAGGGAGGTAGTTTTGTGCCTTCTCCACTCACCATCTTTCTCCTTGTCCATCCGCACCTTCTTCAGAGCAACAATCTCATCTGTCTGGGTGTCCCGGGCCCGATCTAGAATGGGAGCAGGTGCCTGAAAGCTGTCCCAAGCTCCCTCCCCTCGCCCCATCCCGTGGACACCACCTCCCCTCCCCCACCCCTCCCCTCCCCCCACTCCTCCCCTCCCCCCTCCCCGTGGACACCACCTCCCCTCCCCCACCCCTCCCCCCACTCCTCCCCTCCCCCCTCCCCTCCCCGTGGACACCACCTCCCCTCCCCCACCCCTCCCCTCCCCCCACTCCTCCCTTCCCCCTCCCCTCCCCGTGGACACCACCTCCCCTCCCCCACCCCTCCCCTCCCCCCACTCCTCCCCTCCCCTCCCCGTGGACACCACCTCCCCTCCCCCACCCCTCCCCCCACTCCTCCCCTCCCCCCTCCCCTCCCCGTGGACACCACCTCCCCGCCCCGCCCGCCCCGGTGGACGCCCCGTCCGCGCACACACGATGCCGTAGGTGCCCTCGCCGATGCGGTTCAGCTTCTCAAACTCCTTCACGCTCCGGCACCGCCCCAGCTGAAAGGGAGACGCGGATGGACGCGGTCCCAGCCAAAGGCGGCGGGCCGGAGCCGCACCCGGAGCCGGGGGGGGAGAGGGGGGGGCAACAGAACCCGCCCCCTCCCCCTTCCCCCTCCCCCGCCTTCCGCCCCCGGCCGCCCCCTTCCCCCTCCCCCGCCTTCCTCCCCCCGCCTTCCTCCCCCCGCCTTCCTCCCCCCGCCTTCCTCCCCCCCCCGCCTTCCTCCCCCCCCCCGCCTTCCTTCCCCCGCCTTCCTCCCCCCCCGCCTTCCTCCCCCTCCCCCGCCTTCCTCCCCCTCCCCCGCCTTCCGCCCCCCCGCCGCCCCCTTCCGCCCTCCCCGTCGCACCCTGTGCTCGGGGGGCACCGTGAAGGAGCCTTCGGTGCGGATGCTTTTCAGGCGGATCTGCTCAGGCTCTGGGTCCGGCTCCGCCATGCCGAGCCCGGCTGCGCCGCCGCCCCGCCCCGCCCCGCCCCGACACGTGACCCGCGACTTCCGGCCCGGCCGCCGCGGAAGGCGGGGCGCGCGCCAGCCGCCCGGGCGGCCGGCGTGACCCCGGAGGACGCCCGCGCCCCTCCCCTCCCCTCAATAGCTACGGGCCGCCCGCGGTCCTGCGGGGCTCCCCCCGCCCCTGCCGCTCCGCCCCCTGCCCCGCCCCCTGCCGCCGGCCCCGCCCCCCGCTCCACCCCCTGCCCCACCGCCCGCCCCGCCGGCCCCGCCCCATGTCCCGCCCCCTGCCCCCACCGCCTTCCAGCCCCGCCCCCTGCCGCCGGCCCCGCCCCCCGCTCCACCCCCTGCCGGCCCGCCGGCCCCGCCCCATGTCCCGCCCCCTGCCCCCACCGCCGTCCAGCCCCGCCCCCTGCCGCCGGCCCCGCCCCCCCGCTCCGCCCCCTGCCCCACCACCTGCCCCGCCCTCTGCCCCGCCCCGCCGTCCCGCCGTCTGCCCCGCCCCGCCCCCTGCCGCCGGCCCCGCCCCCGCCCCGCCCCATGTCCCGCCCCCTGCCCCACCGTCTGCCCCGCCCCGCCGTCCCGCCGGCCCCGACCCCGCCCCGCCCCATGTCCCGCCCCTGCCCCCACCGCCTGTCCAGCCCCGCCCCCTGCCCCGCCCCCGCTCCGCCCCCTGCCCCGCCCCACCGCTCCGCTCCGCCCCCCTGCCCCGCCCCACCGTCTCGCCGTCTGCCCGCCCTGCCCCCTGCCGCCTGCCCCGCCCCCTGTCCCACCCTGCCGCCTGCCCCGCCCCCCGCTACGCCCCCTGCCGCCTGCCCCGCCCCCCGCTACGCCCCCTGCCCCACCGCCTGCCCCGCCCCGCCGCTCCGCCCCCTGCCCCGCCCCGCCGCTCCGTCCCGCCCCTGCCCCGCCCCCTGCCCCGCCCCCTGCCCCGCTCCGCCGCCTGCCCCGCCCCGCCCCTGCCCCGCTCCGCCGCCTGCCCCGCCCCGCCGCTCCGCTCCGCCCCCCTGCCCCGCCCCACCGTCTCGCCGTCTGCCCGCCCTGCCCCCTGCCGCCTGCCCCGCCCCCTGTCCCGCCCTGCCGCCTGCCCCGCCCCCCGCTACGCCCCCTGCCGCCTGCCCCGCCCCCCGCTACGCCCCCTGCCCCACCGCCTGCCCCGCCCCGCCGCCCCGCCCCCTGTCCCGCCCCACCGCTCCGTCCCGCCCCTGCCCCGCCCCCTGCCCCGCCCCCTGCCCCGCTCCGCCGCCTGCCCCGCCCCGCCCCGCCCCTGCCCCGCTCCGCCGCCTGCCCCGCCCCGCCCCGCCCCGCCCCTGCCCCGCTCCGCCGCCTGCCCCGCCTCGCCGCTCCGCTGCCTGCCCCGCCCCCTGCCACGCCACGCCCCCCGCCGCCCCGCGCCCACCGCCCCTCTCCACCCAAACCTCCTGCGGATCCCGGCGCGGTCCGCTCTTCCGGCGGGCGCCCAGCTGCCCCGGAGCGTGCTGGGCACCGAGAGGCTCTCCCAGCCCCGCCAGAGCCTGACCTGTGTGCCGGCGGCCTCGCCCGGGCGCCAGGCCAGCCAGGCAGGAAAGCCTGAGGCCGTCTCCCAGGGCTCCGGGCGGCGCCAGGCCCGAAACCCACTTCCGCCAGGCCTGGCGGCTCCCGGCGACACCGGTACAAGGAACCTGCCCGAGCAGCCAGGGCTGACCCCAGCACCCGGTAGAGGGGGCTGGAGTTCACACCTCGGTACAAGGGACAGGATAAAACACGGGTGCAAAGCAGTCTTCAAATAACGTCAGAGTCTCGCGATGTTCTTTGGGGCCTGAATTTGGGCTTGGGCACCACCTTGTACCTTTTCTACTCAGCTCAAGGCTGTGCTCTACCACTTGAGCCACAGCACCACTTCCTTTTGGTGATTAATTGGAAATAGTCTGATCACCGAGCAGGGTACTGGTGGCTCAGGAGGCTGAGACCTGAGGATCAGGGTTTGAAGCCAGCCCAGGCTTAGAAAAGTCTGCAAGACTTTTCTTTTTTGTGGGGTGGGGGTCCAGTTATGGGACTTGAACTCCCTACCTGGGTGCTGTCCCTGAGCTTTACGATTCAAGGCTAATGCTCTACCAACTTTGAACCACTGTGACACTTCCAGTTTTCTGGTGTTTGATTGGAGATAAGAGTTTCATGGAGGGAGCTGGGAAGGTGGCTCAGTGGTGGAGTGCTTGCCTTGTATGCCTGAGGCCCTGGGTTCGATTCCTCAGCACCACATAAGAAAAAAGAAAAAAGCCAGAAGTGGCACTGTGGCTCAAGTGGTAGAGCGCTAGCCTTGAGCTGAAGAGCTGAGGGACAGCGCCCAGGCCCAAAGTTCAGGCCCCACGACTGGACCAAAAAAAAAAGAAGAGTTTCATGGACTTTCTTGCATGAGCTGACTTCAAACCATGATCCTCAGATCTCAGCCTCCGGTGTAGCTAGGATTACAGGTGTGAGACTCTCATCTCCAATAAACTACTCAGAAAAGGCCAGGAGTGGCGCTGAGGCAGTAGAGAGCTGGCTGTGAGCACAAAGAAGCTCAGGGGCAGTGCCCAGGCCCTGAGTCCAAGCCCCAGAACCCGCCAAAAAAAAAAAAGTCTGATTGCCACCAACTTTGCTGCTTTGGCTGGCTTTGAATCATGATTCTCAGATCTCAGCCTTCTGAGTAGCTAGGATTACAGGTGAGTCACCAACACCCAGCTTTTTACTTTTTTTTGCCTGTACTACAGCTTAAACCCAAGGCCTTGTGCTTTCACTTGGTGGCTCATGGCTGGCATGCTACCATTTGAGCCATGACTTCAGCATATTTTTTTGTTGTTGTTGGTTGAGATGGTCTCTTCCGCTTTTCCCTACACTGCATAGCCTGACACTTCCAACAGTGATGAGCTAGTTTATTCCTTTAGTATCACAGTATCTGAGCCAGTAGCTTCCCCCATATCTGTCTGCCAGTTGCTCTGGGGAGAAACAACCCAATGGTCACTTAGAGCCCCATAGTGGGACTCAGTCGCAGCAAAGAAGGACAGCGACTGGAAGCTTCTGTTTACTCTTTGTCAGGCAGGTAGGCTGCTATTGTACTGGGGTTCCTGTGTCGGCGGTAGGGGCCCCATTCAGCCTGTTCCCGGATGGTCCTCTGCTCCTCACTTCCAGTGGAACTGTAGCTGACTATAGTCTCCTTTGAGGCCCGAGTGATGACGATCTGTGGAGTGATGGTGTTTTTCCTGCTCGACTGTTTTACATCAGGTTTCGCTAGAGGGAAAAAAAGACCCAGGCATTTAGCGGGTGTGAGGGAACGTCTTCAACACTACACACAAGGCCTGACTTAGGTACAAGTAATCAGATTTGTAGTTACCAGGAAAAAATACCCAAAGCTCAAATAAATTCACCACTGCTATGCACAGAGTAAACACTAATACCCTCTTTTTTGTGCTTTTTTTATTGTTACTATAAAGGTGATATACAGATGGGTTATAGTTACAAAAGTCAGGAAATGAATGCATTTCTTTTTGGATAATGTTACCCCTTCCCTGACTTAGTTTTTCCCTCCTCTTCCTGCATACTCTCTTCAAGAAAGAAAACAGGAGGGGCTGGGATGTGGCTTAGTGGTACAGGGCTTGCCTAGCATTCATGATGTTCTGAATTCTATTGTGCAATACCATATACACAGAAAAGGCCAGAAGTGGTGCTTTGGCTCAAGTGGTAGAGTGCTAGCCTTGAGCAAAAGCAGCTCAGGGGCAGTGCTCAAGCCCTGAGTTCAAGCCCTAGGACTGGAAAAAAGAAGAAAAAAAAGAATCAGGAAAGATTCTTCAGATTTTATGAGCTACAGAGGACCTGCAGGATGACAGACACAGGAAGGAGAGCAGGCGAGAAAGGTGTGTCTGCTCCCATGGCCACGGCTCAGATTCCCAATGCCAAAGGGTTCTAACTGGTAAATCCTCTGTGCAGAACTTAACAGAAGGTGCTAGAAATGGGCACTTCTAATATTGCTAAGGTTACAGGGAATACTACCTGTTGTAAAGCTGTTGAGCTTCAGGTTTTAAAAGTAGACAGGCATAGCCGGGCGCTGGTGGCTCACACCTGTAATCCTAGCTACTCAGGAGGCTGAGATCTGAGGATCGTGGTTCAAAGCCAGCCCGGGCAAGAAAGACCGTGAGACTCCTATCTCCAATAAACCACCAGAAAACCGGAAGTGGTGCTGTAGCTCAAGTGGTAGAGTGCTCGCCTTGAGCTGAAGAGCTGAGGGACAGCGCCCAGGCCCAGAGTTCAAGCCCCACGACCGACAAAAAAATAAAAAAAAAATTTAAAAAAAAAGTAGACAGGCAGAGCTGGGGACCAGTGGCTCACGCCTATAATCCTAGCTACTCAGGGGGCTGAGATCTGAGGATCACGGTTCAGAGCCAGCCCAGGCAGGAAAGTCTATGAGACTCTTATCTCGAATAAACCACCAGAAATCCAGAAGTGGTACTGTGGCTCAAGTGGTAGAGTATTAGCTTTGAGCTGAAGAGCTCAGGGACAGCGTCCAGGCCCAGAGTTCAAGCCCCCATGACCAAAAAAAAAAAGTAAAGAAGTGCTGATTAGCCTCACTGGGCCAAGGCTAAGCACAGGCTTTAGGCCTCTGTTAGAACAGTACAGAGAGGTCTTTCCTCATACACTTCCATATGTATCCAGAACACTCACAGTCTCTGTTGTTGTTGTTCTGGTCCTGGGGTTTGAAATCAGGGCCTGGGTGCTGTCCCTCAGCTCTTCTGCTTAAGGCTCAGAAAAAGCTGGAAGTGGTGCTGTGGCCCAAATTATAGAGCCTTAAGCACAAAGAGGCTCATGGATAGTTCCAGGCCCTGAGTTCAAGCCCAGGACTGGCAACAAATAAACCATATACATATATAATCAAATTGGTTTTTTAAAATTATTTAAATAAAGGTGAGTACAGAGGGGTTACAGTTTCAAATTGATTTCTATAAAGATCCTGGAGCTTGACCTCAAAGCCTGGGTGTGGTCTCTAAACTTTTTTGCTTGAGACTAGCACTCTACCACTTGAACCACAGCTTTTTTTTTTTTTTTTTTTGTAGTTTAGTGGAGAGAAGAGTCCCATGAACTTTCCTGCCCAGAATGGTTCTGAATGTCGATCCTCAGATCTCAGCCTTCTGAGAAGCTAGGATGACAGGTGTGAGCCACCAGCACCCGCTGGGCTCCCCCGCCCCCAGCTCAGTGCCTCTCATGCTTGGCTTACTCAGTTGGCAGTCTTGGCTGAGTGCCCTTTGTTTCTGTGTGCCAGTACTAAGGCTTGAACTTGGACCTCGAGCTCTTGCTTAGCTTTTTCAGTCAATGTTGGAACTCTGCCACTTACAAGAGCCATACTTTCACTTATTTGGAGATAAGAGTCACAGATTTGCCAGTTCAGACTGGCTTTAAACTTCAATCCTCAGATTGTATCTCCTTAAGCAACAGGCACGAGCCATTAGTGCCTGGCTGAGGAGATAGTGTGTGTGTGTGTGTGTGCTGGTCCTGGGGCTTGAACTCTGGCCTGGGCGTTGACCCTGGGCTTTTTTTTTTTCTTTCTCAAGGCTAGTGCTCTACTACTTGATCTATAGCTCCACTTCCAACCTTTTTAGCAGTTTATTGTAAGTAACATTCTCATGACTTTCCTGTCCTAGCTGGCCTTGAACCTTGATCCTCAGATCTTAACCATCTGAGTAGCTGGCACCTGTCAAGGGGAGTTGTTTTCAACATTAGTATAGTCAGCCTCTTCAACACCTTTTGTGCACTGCGTAAATGTGAGACTGGGAGGTAAGATTGGGGATGGGGAGAAAGACAATAAGGGGAAGGGAGGTGCTATCAGAATTCACTATGTCTGTGGATGAAGATGGCATAATAAGACCCACTAAAAACTACTTAAAACTAAGAGATGGGGAAAATCATGAGTAACAGAAGCTGGGCGCCAGTGGCTCACGCCTGTAATCCTAGCTACTCAGCAGGCTGAGATCTGGGGATTGTGGTTTGAAGCCAGCCCAGGCAGGAAATTCTGAGACTCCTATCTCCAATTAACCACTAGAAATCTGGAAGTGATGCTGTGGTTCAAAGTGGTAGTGCCCTTGCCTTAAGCAAAAGCAGCTCAGAGATAGTGCCCGGGCCCTGAGTTCAAGCCCCAAGACAGAAAGAAAAAAAAAAGTAATAAAGAACATTAATCCTATCACGTATAATATATGCAAACATAAAAATACCACAGTGAAACTTCTTTGTATAATTTGTACACTAATTAAAAAATAACTTTTTTTCTTCAAGGCTTAGACTCTCAACAGTGAGAAATCAGATGAAATATTTGCATCCTCGTTTTTCCCTACTGACTTTGATATTTGCTCTTATCTATCTGGAAATTATCTTAGTGGGAGGCAGCAAAGGGCTTTGTGTAGTCTTCCCTCAGGCTCTGCGTCCCCTATTGGCCTTTCTAAGGCCCACAGCTCATCGCCTCTCCCGTTTTCAGATCCATCTCCAAAGCCATCCATTTTACCCATGATAAAATAGGTGGAAGACTTCAGGCTTCATCTTGCTTTTGTGGCTTCATCTTCACCACATGCCCAAGGTGTGACCACACTAGGCTGCTTCTCAGTATGTGGGCAAACTATTTCACTCTCTTGTTTCACCCACAAATCTCTCCTCCATGATGGGCTTCCATCCTCAGGGGCTGCACTACACTCTGAGCAGTCTCTCTCGAGGCTTTGCTCCAAGGCTTTGACATACTGAAGTTACCAGAAGTTACTCAGCCCTCCTGGGTGACATTGAGTGACCTCAAATCAAGCTCTCTCTGGACTGTTATGCATCTACCACTTTGGAGAGTACCTGACTTTGCACGGTTCACCAAGAATTCTGCAAATTCTCCTATGCCTAAGTCCTGAAACAAATGCCACTAGTCATTGATCTCAATGTCATTCTAGATATTCAAGAGGCTAAGATCTGCAGGGTCTCAACTTTGAAGCCGGCCTGGACAGAAAAGACTTGGGTGCCTGCCTCCGGGGGAGGGGGGCGCAGGGGGTGCCTGCCTCCGGAGGGAGGTAGGGGGGGTGCTCTGCCTCCGGAGGGGGGCGCAGGGGGTGCTCTGCCTCCAGAGGGGGGCGCAGGGGGTGCCTGCCTCCGGAGGGGGGGTAGGGGGGGTGCTCTGCCTCCGGAGGGGGGCGCAGGGGGTGCTCTGCCTCCAGAGGGGAGGAAGGGGATGCTCTGCCTCCGGAGGGGGGCGCAGGGGGTGCCCCGCCTCCAGAGGGGAGGAAGGGGGTGCCTGCCTCCGGGAGAGGGGGGCGCAGGGGGTGCCTGCCTCTGGAGGGGGGCGCAGGGGGTGCCCTGCCTCCGGAGGGGGGGTAAGGGGGTGCCCTACCTCCGGAGGAGGAGGAGGGCCGTTGGTGCTTGCCCGACCCCAGCCCCGCGGCTAGGCTGCCGGCCTCCTTGGCCTCCTGGGATGGCTTCTTCACCCACTTGTTCTTGGACTTGGGAACGGAAGAGGCGAGCTCCTTCTTGTCCTCCTCTCCTAGAACACATCATGGGGGACACCTGTGGGTACCGGGCTCCCGGCGCCGGCTCGGCCAGGAATGGGAGAAGGCAGCTGGGCGGGGCCGCGGCGCCCCTTACCTTTATCCAGTTTGGTTTTGCTTCTGGAAAGGCCCATACGTGAGCCCACGGTCAGGCCGGCGCAGGCCGAGATGCCCGCACCTCCCGGGCGGGCCCAGGGAGTGATTCACAGAGCGGCTGGCGGGCCGGTACCTCGCGGGTCGCCTAGGAAACCGAGCGACGCCCCGCCCCGCGCGCGCCCCGCCCCCGCGCGCCCCGCCCCTCGCGCGCGCTCCGCCCCCCGCGCGCGCCCCGCCCCGCCCCGCCCCCCGCCCCCCGCGCGCCCCGCCCCCGCGCGCGCCCCGCCCCCGCGCGCCCCGCCCCCCGCGCGCCCCCGCCCCCCGGGCGCGCCCCGCCCCTCGCGCGCGCTCCGCCCCCCGCGCGCGCCCCGCCCCGCCCCCTCGTGCGCCCCGCCCCCGCCCCGCCCCCCCGCGTGCGCCCCGCCCGCGAGATGCCCAGCGGTCGCCCCGGAAACCGCGCGATGCCCCGCCCCTCGCGCGCGCCCCGCCCCCCCGCGCGCCCCCCCGCGCGCCCCGCCCCTCGCGCGCGCCCCGCCCCCCGCGCGCGCCCCGCCCCTCGCGCGCGCCCCGCCCGCGCGATGCCCAGCGGTCGCCCCGGAAACCGCGCGATGCCCCGCCCCAGGGTGAGGGGCGGGGCCTTGCGTCCTCTCGCGATAGCCGTCCCCAACCGGACGTCGCGGAGACCCCGGAAGTGGCCGCGGGCGCCGCGCTCGGTTCTGCCGCCTCTTGCCAAGCCCCGGTTGCGCTGCCTGACTGGCCATGGACGGTAAGGGGCCGCCGCCGGGTGGACCCCCGGCCCATCTCACATCCGTGTCTGCTCCCGCCTCCACCGCAGATCGCACCCGGGCTCGGCTCAGAGGTCGGCGTGGCCCCGGGGCCGGTGTCGGGCCTCCGCCGGAGGCCCGGGCCCTCCCCACCCCGTCCCGCCCTCCTCGGCCTGAGCACCGCCCGGGCCGCCGCGAGGCGCTCGGAAGAGCCGGCCCTGCGGGACGGGCCCGCCCGCGGGTCCTCGCCCGGCCTCCCGCCGACGCGCGGGCGGCCGGGGCGCGGGCGGCCGGGGCGCGGGCCCCGCCGACGTGCGGGCGGCCGGGGCGCGGGCGGCCGGGGCGCGGGCGGCCGGGGTGCGGGCGGCCGACGTGCGGGCGGCCGGGGCGCGGGCGGCCGGGGCGCGGGCGGCCGGGGCGCGGGCGGCCGGGGTGCGGGCCCCGCCGACGTGCGGGCGGCCGGGGCGCGGGCGGCCGGGGCGCGGGCGGCCGGGGCGCGGGCGGCCGGGGCGCGGGCGGCCGGGGCGCGGGCGGCCGGGGCGCGGGCCGGTCTGAGGACTAGCCGGGACGCTGCTGTGCAGGAGGCGCGCCCCCACGGGCCGGGTCCACCGGTTCCTCAGTCTTCTCTTGAGGCCTTTTCTCCGGTCCGCGACAGGTTCCTCGGCTCCTGTTCCTCAGCCTGGTCCCACCAAGGCCAGGCGGAAACTGAGGCGGGGAGGAGGGGATGGGCAGGGCTGGGTGGTGCCGGTCAGCGTGGTTCTGCCAGGTGATCTTCGTTGGCTAGTGCCTGCCCGAGAGCCGGTAGATGGGCCGATGCCCTAGTCAGCTCCGGTGGGAGCTCATTCTGGATTGGTGGGTGAACCCTTTCAGCCATCTAGTGTCACTGTTTGCTTACAAAGGTAGTAAATTGAGATCAGTCCGGAACTACTCGTCTCACAAGCTTGTGGGCATGTGTAGCAGTTTCTGTTTAACCTTGGATTTATTTAGCACAGTCAGGTGAGTGAGTACATAGGTGTCCCAAGACTGATGATGTAGTTTAGAAACAAGTGGTGCTGGTGGCTTGCCCCTGTCATCCTAGCTACTCAGGAGGCTGAGGTCTGAGGACCACAGTTCAAAGCCAGCTGAGGCAGAAAGGTTCCCTTGAGACTCTTAATTAACCACCAGAAAACCAGAAGTGGTGCTGTGGCTCAAGTGGTAGAGCCCCAGCCTTGAGCAAAAGCGTTCCCAGACCCTTAGTTCAAAAGTTCAAACCCCACAACCACCCCTCCCCCCAAAAAAAAGAAGTGGTGCTGTGGCTCAAGTGGGATAGCCCTCACCTTGAGCAAAAGAAGCTCAGGGACAGCGCCCAGGCCCTGAATTCAAGCTCCAGGTCCAATAACAACAAAAAGGGGTGTGTGTGTGTGTGTGTGTGTGTGTGTGTGTGTATAAAACACAAATACTATGAAGTTGAGAAAAGATCCCATGTTTCGTAAAGTTGTACAAATTGTAAGACAAATGAATAGCTCTTTTTTTCTTTTGCGCCTTTTGGTTGGTTGTAGGGCTTAAACTCAGGGCCTGGGCACTGTCTCAGCTCTTTTTTCTTAAGGCAAGTGTTCTATCACTTGAGCCACAGCATCACCTCCAGTTTTCTGGTAGTTAATTGGAGACGAGTCTCTTGCACTTTCCTGCTTGGACTGACTTCGAACCAGGATCCTCAGATCTCAGCCTCCTGAATAGCTAGGATTACAGGTGTGCACCATCAGCAATCAGCTCCATGTGTTCTTGATAAACCACTTAGGGATGGTCTGTTGGCTGGAGCTATATGGCTAACAAGGGTCTAGGACTAGCTACTAGTCTGTCTCCCTTCAAAGTCCTGAGTCATATGGTAACTGCCTTCTGTGCCAGCTTCTAGAGTCTGCATATATCTTAGTGAATCTATCTGCTTGTTAAAAGTGCTACTTGTCATGTTTTTTAATATCCTGAAACCATTTGCCTTGTCTTTGCAGATACCCTGTTCCAGCTGAAGGTATGTATCTAATGACCGTTTTTGCCCCAGTCCTGTCCTGGTGATTAACAAATGAGGACAAATAATACAAAACACCCTCAGAACCTTGGGAACACAGGGTCAAGGGCAGATTATGAAAGTTGAGTGGCTGCTGACAAGGGCAGGGTTATTGATGAATCTGAGTGACATTTTTTTCCTTTGTTTCTGGCTAAGAAAAAGCAGATCCTTTGGGCTTATCCATGAAAGATTGAGTGTATTCTATCTTTAAGAAACACAATTTGGTGGACTGGGAAGGTGGCTTTGTGGTAGAGTGCTTGTGTAGCATACATGAAGCCCTGGTTTAATTCCTCAGTACCACATAAACAGAAAGAAGCCAGAAGTGGTGCTGTAGCTCCAGTGGTAGAGTGCTAGCCTTGAGCAAAAGATCAGAGACGGTGCCCAGGCCCTGAGTTCAAGTCCTAGGACCGACCAAAAAAAAAAGAAAAGAAAGAAACACAGTTTGGGTATTACGTGAATGCCTTGATGTTCTGCTAAGTGTTTAAAACCGTGGCCTGGAACCCTTTGGCATCCTGTTTGAAGGAGAGTCCTGTGGATAGCTTAATATCCCTGCTTCCTGATAATGTTCCTTTTCCCTTAAATACTCTTAGGGTTAGCTTCTTGTTTATCCCCGGTTCCCTGATGAGCTAGAGAGAGGTCACAGCTATAAAGTGTATCTCTGGGATTGTTCCGCATTGCCCGGAAGCTTCTTGAGGTGGTGTGTGAGCGCTCCCTCAGGAGAGCCGTGTTTGTGGAGGGCTTTTCACCTGAAGGGGACTAAAGGGCACGGTAGTGGGATGCCCGAGGACTGGTCTGAAAGGTGAGCTGCTTGTTGCTGCTTGGAGCCTTATGGTTTCTGCTCAGTTCACAGCAAAACAACTGGAGAAGCTGGCCAAAAAGGCCGAGAAGGACTCCAAGGCCGAGCAAGCCAAAGTAAAGAAGGTGTGTGATGTCTCCAGTCTCCACTCCTTTCATTTCTCCCCTTGCTTTTATTTTCTGTCTTCCTTTTGTGCAAGGTACTTACTGCCATCACAGTTGAATGGAGAGTGTCCACATCAGAACTATGAGTGCCCAGCATTTGTTCATTTTCTCCACATGTCAATTTCTCTTACTCCCTCCTGATACTCTGAGGTGGCTTCACCTGAATTATGTAGGACGTGGCTTCCCAGCTGTCTTGGCCTCCTGTCTCACCATGCTCGTCTAGTTCTGTCCTGCTGAGCTTGCGTCCTGGGCTCAGCATTAGGCAGATGCATGGGGGTACCATGGGTGGCAGGGTTAGAGGTTTGCTGGCGCCTCTTCTGGAAGGTGCCCCTGCCTAAAGATGGGCAGTGCAAAAGGAAAGAGGGGTGGTCGCTCTTGACGTAGACTTTCCGCCCAGGCTGGGCCAGCTCTTAAAATGGTGTCTCATGGCACCTGAGCCCTGGAGCTGCGGGTGTTTTGCATTCTCACCCACTCTGGCTCTCAGGGCGAAGGAGCCTGTGGCAAGACCCGGCTGTGGTCCGTGTCACGGGTGCTCACCTTCCGCACCTGTGCTCTGGCGCCTTTGGACTCCGTGTGTCACGCCTCCTACCACTTGGTCCTGTGCAGTTAGGACTTGGGAGTCTCTGCTGTGGGCCAAGCACCACTGTGGGTGTGGAGCCTCCACGGCCTGCTCTGGGTGTGGCAGGTGGGCAGTGCACATCTGTGAAGGTCATGGATGTTTTCATTGTACACCGGGGGAAAACAGAAAGCCCCTGATCCCCATGACAGCAAACTGCCCAGGGAGGTCTGCACCAGGCTTCTAGCAGGCAAGGCTGATAGAGACAAAGCTAGTTCTCCCACAGACATTTCTCCTGTGACTATTTCTTCTTGAATCTTAGGCCCTGCAGCAGAAAAATGTGGAATGTGCTCGAGTGTATGCTGAAAATGCCATCCGCAAGAAGAACGAGAGTGTGAACTGGCTCCGCATGGCGTCCCGTGTGGACGCGGTGGCCTCCAAGGTCCAGACGGCTGTGACCATGAAGGGGGTGAGTGCCGTGTGGCGGGAGAGGGCGGGCCCTGGCGGCTGGGTGGCAGGCACACCCAGGAGGCCGGGTCAGCATCGGGGAGGGCGGAGTGCAGCAGGGCCCGAAAGCGGCCAAGTGGGCCCGGGTCCTGCAGCACCCACAAGAGGCAGGCCTGTTCTGGCCGGCTGGGGAGCACGCACGTGGGCTTGACTCACAGCCAAGAGAGCCCCCCACAGTGTTGTTACCTGTCCTTAGAGGCCCACGCGCTGGTCTCCCTGGTGCATGCGTGTAGTCAGCAGCAGTTACTGAGACTCTGGGCACCCATCAGGGTCC